AATAATAATGCACAGTAGTACATGTTTTTAGAAGATTGCATAATCAATATTAATTAACACCTTTTTGCGAAACATAATATTTCTGTTTGAATTATTTAAATCCACTTTTATAAATGTTAAATAAAATACAATTTATTCCTATAACAAAACCATATTTTAGCATAAAAACGAGTTTTATACAGTTTAAGAAAATTCTTAAAATAAAAATGCCAAACTACACGATGAAAATAAATCAATTAGGTTTAAAAATGCAATTAGTATTAAATGTTAGGTAAAAAAAGAGTTTAAACACAGTTAAAAAAACAAATCCATCTAATTTAATCGTAATAAAAACTTTTATATTGATATTGAACTGTGCATCATGGATTTATACGTCTAGTTTCTTCATTACCAAACTATTCTTCCAATATAGATACTTGCACGTCGCACGTGGAAATTTCGATTATTAAATATTTGACAGAAGAGTGTTTTTGACAATTTTTAACGTGCTTGAATTTGGGGACAACGGCGGCGGACAAACAACACAGACACGACGTGTGTTTATTTTTAGTTACAAATTTACAATGTATATAATATAATATCAGTTGTAATGTATAAAGCGCAAAGTGCCAAAGTTTATTACTAAATATATTTACTATATACTGTGCATTTAAATAATAATGTTATTTTTTTTCGTATTTAACTACATAATAATATACTCAAGCCTAAACGGTCCCAAACATTTTTTAAAGTAAAAAAACAAATTAGTGTCTTGTTTGTCCCATCGGCCTTGGCTGAATCGCCGTTGAATATTATTTTAAGAACATTAAAAACGTCCGCCACGATTGGCAACGGATCAATATATATGCGACCACGTCGCAGCCAATCGCCGATGGACATATTATATTATGTGTGTAATGTGTACAATGTACACATGTATATTGTATATATAATATATATATATTTATTATTATTTAAATTTTCGTTGAACATTTTTGTTCGAACGCCCATTACCTTTACCATGGTAAATGTATAATATGGTATAATATTATAATATTGTACACAGCGTTCATTCGTTTGGTTTTGAACGTTTTTTTTTCTTCGAATGTTTTACGTTTTTCTCGAAAGTGATATATAATATACCGTTGGCGACGTGCATAAATACTATATTATACTTACACGTGATGTGTGTGCGTGCATATACGGTGAAGGTGAAGGTGTTGGTTTCGGGCTGTGGTCGGGAGTGGAGAGGCAGGTTTCCTCGTCATGCCATAATGAGTTGAGATAGGAGTATAATATTATGTGTGCGACGGACGGACGACGGTTGTCGTTCGGTTTCGTTAAAAATATTAAGCCTTAAGTTTATGAACTATAATCGTCCTGCATAATGCATAGGATGTCTAATCGCGTCAGTCCCTTCCCCGACAACTCTTTTCTAATCAATATATTTTTGAAATTCGATTTTGGACTATAATAATATTACTGTACGGAGGGCCGCGGAGTAACCAATAGTTTATGTCAATATTTTTAAAGCCGTATTCGTAGATTTCCATTTCTTATTCAAAATATGTCTACAGTCGCGGGGAAGTCTTTATAGTTTTGACCGGAAGCATCCGTCATTATACTGCAGAGGAGTACGGATACGCGGGTCGAGGGGTGACTGTGATATACGGCGAGGACAAATATGGGTGTATGATATAACCATGGGTATTTTGAATATCTTAAAATTACAAATTCTATTACCCATAATATATTATCGATATCAGTAACTATCTATAGGCAAGTACCTATAACCTATAAACCGTAAAAAGGACAGGCATATCATTGGCTGCGGTGCTGCCGTACAGGACTTGACGAAACGCACTGTCACCGCAGCAGCGACGGACGAAAATCGGCCCATTATATACATTTACGCGTGTACAATATATATTGTATATTATTATTATGTATATATATATATATGTGTGTGTGTGTAATATTATTGCGATTTGTGTCATTATATTAGTTCGACCTTCGGTCGCGATACGAACAATGGCCGTAATAACGATGCCAAACATCCTGGTTAGGGCTGAACGGTTCTATTCTAGAAGAGTGTATATATATATATATACATATATATATCCGTCGACGCTGCGCGAATATATAGGTTAGGCCGTTTTAACCGGAGCCAAACGGGCCGTAGTCCATGCGACGACCTTAGAGCAGTGTTGCTCTTCGCGTTATGTCATACACTCGCGCATATATATATATATACATATAAATACATACTATCATTTAGGTATATACCTATTATTATATATTATATCAATGCGTTTACCCATTATCGCGTGTATCGCACAATACAGGTATGTATGGTACGATGCACTGCCTAGTACGATCATGTATCAATTATCTGGAAATATATAAAACGCATGTACTACATAGTGTCATAGTGCACATACACTTATACACACACACACACACACACACACACACACCCACACACACACACACACACACACACACACACACACGAGAACTGACTACACAGGAACACATTCGTGTGTGCGTGTGCGAGCCCAATCGTAATGCGCACGTAGGTACAATATTGTGCCCAGTAGTCGGATGTTAATTAGTCGTTAGGTCGACCCGCGCGGACTGCGGATATATCGTTCAGTGTAGGTATGCGCGCGTAACGGTGCGCAGCGTTGCGAACGAAATATTATCGCGTCAATGTGTAAATCCCAGTCCGGTGTGTAATGCAGTGTAATGATGAACGCGGTACAGTGACAATGAAATATGTCATATTTTAAATTGTATAATATCGGTAACGTATATATATTATGCGTGTATGGTAGCGTAAAACCCCGTAGAAAAATTATAGCTAGTAGGTGTATATGGAATATCATAGATTTGTCATACTCCCGTGGTGACGTACCTCCGTATTATGTAGGCGAACCGTTTCTGCAGTCGATGCAGACGTGTGCAGCAGCTGCTGCACTCGTTCGGATAAAACCGTATCGATCTTGACCTGTTACGTTTGAATTCGGTAAATATATTATTAATGCAATGTTCATACGTCAACTATTCGTCTAAAATAATATATTATTATGTACACATGGGAGGTGTAATGTGTTTGACACATTACATTTACGTCCACAAGTCACAACTACACTATAGTGTTGTAGTACCTATATAATATACGTAGGTTGTCATTTGTCAGCAATTCTATATTATAATATGTATTTAGCAATTTATGTATACAGGTATATTGCAATGTGTATATAGTAATATATGATATTATTATATAATTGACAATTTGTTACATAAATATAGGTAACTTACCTTACCGCATATTAAAGTTTTGGCGATATTGTTTTTCTGGCCGAAAGCGGCGCCAAGTTCTTGGAAAAATAAAACAATCGTCCGATTGTTCCATGATGACGACCTTTGCACATATGTGTACGAGTACACACACAATCGGTCATGTGTTTCTAGGTCAATGAGTTATAAGCTGTTCTGCCGACGTTTTCGCCACCGCACCATATTTCCTAAATCGACCGTGTGGCACTGTATAGCGTTTAAATTGCCTAAATACTAAATAGTTACCTATTATGGCAATGCCTAGTTACCTAGGCATTAGACTATACAGCACTGCAGTATACTATACTATACTTATGTCTTATAGTGATGTTTCTGGCTTTTGCGATGTATAGTTTTTTTGGCTACTAATCCATATAATTACGAATCAACCAATATTTACTAGGCTCAACGTAATAATATATTATAATACTATACAAGTATGGCCGACGTCTGAATACGCACAGTATTAGTAGGAGTGTGTACGATCGCGACGGTCGCAATGCGTCTGAGAGAGTAATAATGGTAATAACTAATAATTATTGTGCTCCAATCGACGGCGATGTCTATAATATAATATTATACATATTAAATATGTGTGTAGCCTTTGGCCTCTATAGATATCAATGTCCATACATATATGTTAGCATAAAAATGTAATAAAAATATTTATCTCAACAATGATTTATAAATATACATTTTTTGCAATTTTATCCACCGTGAATATTATAATATATGTTGAGGATTAGGATGTAATAAACATGACGACATGACGTATGACATAGGTCATAAACAGGCTATACTTTGATATTTGAGGTTTTGTCTCATTTAATTAAAAATATGTTAATTTTTAACAATGCCACAGCATAATATTTGTTTAAGCTTTAAGTTGATCGTGCGTGCCATGCGTGATTGTTGTATTATAAATGACTATGTAGGTGGTAGATACCTTTATATCATGATAGTTAATACCTTTTATATTTCAATAAAATGTATAACAATTTTTTTCCCCTGATTTTTCTTTACTTTTCAATTTATGAATACCTGATTATTCAATTATATTTAAATAAATAAAATTAAATGTATGTAAATATAAATTATTTAAAACAAAATTACAATAGGTACCTACTTTATGCTTTAGATTTCAGATTTACATTTATGTAAATATGCAGTGATCGTCTGCCAACTGCAAGGAACATATATACTACATACTATACGTACATGTAGTATTCGTGTATAGTAGCGTATAGATAGGATAAGGTTTATCGGTATGTTTTTACATAATATACATATAGGTACAACATCTATGCATACTCTTTGCATATTTAGACAATTTTTTGGCGTCATTTTATAATATATATACTAAACTTACAAAAAACCGAGGTTTTATTTAGAAATTAAAAACTTAGGTATAAATTAAACGTAAATAATAATAATAATAACTCTAAATAGCAGTAGTACGGAGGTTTACTATACCAGTTAATAGTGTGTTCCCACAAGTGGCTATATGATGTGAAGCGTGAATATAATAATATTATGTATAACTAAGGACCTAAGGTGATTGATGCCCTATGTGCGTCACACACTCGCACGTCCTATAACTATATTATGTTTTGCACATTATTTTATGCAATTCGTCATATCGATTGATATTAACAAAGTATTTAAATATTATTTTCCAGAAATCGCGTCAAGATGCATATCGAGGTTAGCGTAGCGTTGAACTTTGTGATCTCGTACCTGTACAACAAATTACCAAGACGACGAGTGAACATATTCGGCGAAGAGCTGGAAAAGTGCCTGACTGAGAAATTCGCTGGGCACTGGTACCCGGAAAAACCGTACCGCGGCTCGGCGTACCGGTGCATCAAAACGGGATCTCCGATAGACCCGGTGTTCGAGAAAGCGGCCCGTGAGAGCGGCGTGGCCATACAGGACATCCTGGAGAACTTGCCGCAGGATTTGGCCGTGTGGGTGGACCCTGGCGAAGTCAGTTACCGCATCGGCGAAAAGGGTGCTGTGAAGATCTTGTACAACGAGAACAGCGGTGGCCTCCAGTTCGACACACACGACGACCGGACCGCCGACCGAGAGGTAATGCGTGTTCCCAACCTATTTATATGTATTTTAGGGATCTGTCTAGAACTGACTTGCCTCCTGCTTGTTTTTTTATATAAAACCGAACTCGTATGCCCGTAATACGAATATGTTTTTTTATAATTTATTGATGAAGAATCGATTTGATGCAGTGCGCATAATAATTGTGGTCTGAGGTGAATGTGGAGCGAGTCTGGGCGCGTGCTAGAGTGACGGATACATTTTCGCAGGGCACGACAATATTATTACACAACGTGAGCAAATCATTCTGCAGTTTACCTGTAACATCTGACTTGTACGTCATTACAGTGACATATATACCAAATGCGCATATGTGTCGCCAGTTTAGAGAAATTCGACCGAAAAAACACGATAATACATATATATTATGTAGATATTGCAGTGTAGGTATATATAGTATGTACTGTAATGACGTGATAATGTTATACTGACCATGATTATCGGTATACAATGCAGTAATAATGCGTTATTGGCATCATACAGCACGTTACGCGATTATTATTTATTTTTACCAACGTTTTCTTCAGATTTTCCAAACCTATAAGTTCTCGTATATACTTTGATAATATGTATATAGTTGGGCACATTCAATTCTAATTTATAAATAACGGTCTCTACTCCCATCTGGAGTACGAAACCACGTAAAATATATTCTTACAATCCTATACAAGGAATCCGTGAATTATAAATGTTACTTTGTGCATCCTATACCTTGACATGCCCACCTCCTCTCGCGTAATCCTAGAAGAACGAGTAGAACGACACGAGTCATCGATCCGGAGATGATCATCAGTATCGCTTGTCCACTACACAGTATTTAGGGTTCTATAATATATTACCTAACATGAACGGCGTCTCAAAAACGGTTGGTCATTACTCATAGGTATACTCATTGAGATTTTCGGCCGGAATTCCGTGGCACTGCACAACACAATAGGGCTCGGCTATGTCACAATTGGTATACGTTATTATGCGCACTCGTAGGTTAGGTTAGGAATAATAATAATGCGAAAACTGTACGATAAAGGACGGATGGGGAGTCCGACGAGGAGACAATGTCCGCCGCGACCTTTTCGAATAAGATTGACCGACTGAAAATATCGCGGTTACGCATTCCTGACCATTCCCTACGAGTATACCGTAAACAATTTGTTCGGTCGCGGTCACTTCGGACGCGTGTCTACCGCGGTTGGACTTGTCAAGTTGTCTAAATACTGACCATACTATTTTTAATCCTGAAACCTAGAAGCCTTTTTTTCATTTGGGTGGTACAAAATTACTTAAATACATTAATACATTTTTTACATTTTACTCTTTCGGTAAATACTGCATTGTAGTTTTTATAAAGTTGAATAGTCTTAGTGTCTTCGAAAACGAACAAGAAAGATTGTAAATTAACATCTTATAATTAATGGGTAGAGTGGTGAAACGAGTACATTTTAGTACGCAATTTTATAAATTAAATACTACCAGTATAATAGGGAGATATTGATTGTTTGCTGGTGTACTATTCTCAAAATTGTATTAAAAGATAAGACATGGGCGTATATTAAAATACACGTTGCGGTCACGGTGCCACTCCAATACAATAAGCATCTGTATTAGAATACTGTCTTGGCGGGCAACGAAACTCGTTCCTCGAGAGAATAGACTATAGAGCGATGGTAAAGGTTAAATATTAAATAAATTATTTTTATATAATGGAAAATAAAAGTCTATAGGGGATTGAGCCGTTGGAATTATCGTAACGCATATCATATTTCAGCGTACGTTGCTATAATAAACGAAAGTTTGAATATACTGTGCGAGTGTACGTGTCGTATATAATTATACTATACATGCGTGGAGGCGAACAATACGACAAAAGCTAAAACATTTAATCCCTTCGGAGCTCGCATACAGGGTGATTTTTTTTAAACGTAATCCACTTATTTTCTCGTTCAACTCTATGGTTTTGAATATTATCATAATATATTATATAAAAGTTGAAGTACCTTCCTACTTATTATTACACTACATTTTTATAAAAAAGACCAATTTTCACTATTTTTTTTTTTGTAATAATAAATGTTTATTATCAAAAGCACCTATCTGGCAGAAAATTGAAAAATAACAACTGTCTAAAATATTAAGGGTATGCTTTACGTTCAAAAGACCACACTGTACTTACATAATTTATGATAGGCTCCTTATGATGTATATATATATATATATGTATGTATGTATGTATGTATGTATGTATATTTATCGATTGGGTCACGCCTTTAGGATAAAGCTGGTTTTAAATAAAAGCCACGTAAATGTTAAAACTATAAAATCGATAATCCTACAATATGCAAGTCAGTGTTTTGCAGACTGCAATTATATTTTTATAATTCAGCTGCAGTATGTTTTTTAATTTATTTAACGATTTGTGTTTGCGTGTGTTGCAGGTCGTCAAAACGTTCAACCCCGAAGCACAGTGTTTCCGGCCCATCGATTCAGTAGCGTCCAGCTTGAGTTCTCTGAGCATTTCGCCACCGGACAAGTGTTCGGTTGGTTCGCCAACGCTTGGCAGCGGTTCCAACAACTCGTCGCCGACGCATCATAACCACCTCCAACACCACCACCACCAACAACAACAACAGCAGCAACAACAACAACACCATCCTCACCTCCAGCAACAGCAAATACAGCTACAACAGTCACAGCACAATTCTCTGTTGTTCGGCAAGCCGTGTGGCGGGAGCAGCAGCAGCAGTAGTAGCAGCAGCAGCAGTAGCAGCAGCAGCAGCACTGCAAGCAACGGCAACAGTCAGCAGTCGCCGCAGCAACAGCAACAGCAACCGCGGAGCCCGAACGGTGGCGGCCCCGCAGTGGCCGTCGCGGCTGGCGCTTACGTGCCGTGCCGACAGCCGTCCGTGCCGTTGACGTTCACAACTGCCTCGTTCGCGCAGACCAAGTTCGGCAGCACCAAACTCAAGTCCAACAACAAGCGAGCTAACAGGTTTCTGATGACTGATTTTATAGAAAAGTAGGCGGACACGTACCTAGTATGAGTGTTAGTACAGTTTTGACCATGACGATGCGTTATGCGTGCCGTATTGAATGCTCGCGCTGGCGATGTGGTCATTTATGACGGCGGTTGGGTGGGTGGACTGCTGCTTCAAAAACATCGAAAATACCCATAGACAGCATTAATTGTTATAATCATTTGAAATTTACATTTTGACGAAGATGGACATTTCCTCCGTCGTTTTTTCGTTGCGGTTCGAAAAATATTAACCGTAGAAACTTTGAACATCCCACTATTAGGTGCCGTGCTCATCATGTGATTTGTATTATTATTCGCTTTGCTATCAACTCGACTTAATTCGTTACGATGGTATTGAACTTTTGATAATATATTATATTTTCCTATAGTCGCTAACTGCCCAGAGTTCTACTTATCGTTAAAATAATGCCTGGCTGTACAATCGCATCCATAAAATTACACTGCAGTTAAAAATCATGTATTAGCTCATCCGGTGTTATTAATTTATTATAGAGTTTGATGGAATGGACTGATCCAACTATGGTTTCACTATCGCAATAATTTATTTATCGGCGTATCCCCTATGTATAGTATTTGTTGTAGAGAGTCTAGTAGTCTACCGATTTCACCCTGCGTAAATTATTATTTATTATAACGACATTAGAAGAGTTGACGCCGATGGTCGTACATGAGTTGAGGGTTAGACAAGGTCACGGACGACTTAAAAGTATACGTGATTACATATTATACGTAATATATCATACTTTTATCTTTGGGTGGGTGGCGAAAACGCGATGGATATCACCCGACACCCATATGATATTAAAGGAAGGAATAATGTATATAGAGACGTATCTTATCCCTAGTATATATACAAATATACTATAGACGTGATTTTCGAGACGAGATTTCACTCGATTTTATATTATTTATACAGTTATATGGGTATAGGCGTGCGCAGATTTCGTTGGCTGGTATGTAAATGTGTAATACAAACAAATTTACAAGTACTCAGTACCCCCTCCCAGGATAAAGTAGCATATGCTACTAGATATTTTAGATTGATTTTTAGAGTAATAATTGTTGATTTGCAATTCTATGGTGATAAACAAAGGGTTACGAAAAATCGTTGAGTAAAAAAAAGTTGTATTGGATACAATAAGAGAGAAAAAAAAACCCAAAAACATATCCATGTTAAAATGGGAAAGGCCCTGCTAAATCAAATACAGTAACAAAATCACATGATTACTGATTAGTTATAACTGTCACAATAATATAACATTTTTTATAAAACTATAACTATTTATATAGTTTTAAGCCTTCTAACATTTACAATTTATCTCGTATATATGTGTATAACTTCTTAAACGCGTATTTCCGAGGACAATTTATTTACGAATACTTAATTTAAAAATTATTAATATTGAGTTTTTTTTTATAAGTCACATTTATAATCGATTTGATCGACTATCATTCGAGGTTATAAAAATGAGCCCTTTCTCGGAGTATTCATAGTGGATTTTGGATTACCCTGAATGTACCCCGTGCGCACGCCTGTATAGTGCCGCCTATGTGTTTGGCCGTTTAGAGCATCCTGTATATACACGCACCTGTTGCGTGTAATTAATTGTGCGCGTATTGGTCGTTGCGACCGATTGGGCACGCGAATTATCGCGGCGTGCGTGTACCTTTTCACTCTCCCACTCCCATCTCTCTCCCTCTACCACTTCCCCTCTTTCTCTCTCTCTTTTCGCACAGAGGTCACTCCGTCCGTCCGTATTGCGAAACGACGTCATTGCGAGGTGGCGGGCCTATACTGCAGATACCTATGTATGTGTGTATACAACATAATTATACCATTATATGCATGTAGGTATACCATGTACCTACGAACGATGAGGCTTAGCGCCTGTAAAAGGTGTCTAACGAATGGCGCCAATACTCGCCAATACGAAACGCGCATGCCTATAATTGTGACAGATGTCCCCAAAAGCTTGCGGATAATATTTCGGTTGTTTCTTCGGTTATTGAACCGTCAATCTGTGCCTAAAAAAAAATACACGCGTGTTTATATTAGTAATAATAATATGTCCTCTGTGTGCAACTCAGACGTAATTCAGATCTGGGTCATAATCCACACAAATATTATCCTTTTTTTGTTACTCTGTTTACGTAAATCGAGTAAAAATAACCACAGCCTCCGAAAATGATTAAAGAGTCCTAAAAATAAACCGATTTATCATCGCAGTGAAAACAAATAATTTACAAAATCTTTAATTTTCTGATGTAAAAGTTATATACCTATACAAGGGGTTCGTTGTGTTTTGAACTTTGGATCAATATAAATATAACCAAACTGATATCATCGTATATAAATTAAAATTAGCATAGTTCTATGGGCGTAATAACTGATAATAGCAGCCACTCAAAACACTACTTTCACTTCCCAGAGAAATTCTATTGGACAACATGTTGCGGTAACGATGGTCAGCACACCCACTGTATTAGTCTTAAAATATTTACAACGATTACAGTAGCAGTAAACATTTTTCGAAAACGCCTAATGTCTATATACATGTACACAACAAGCGTATATAGTTTACTCGCATGGCTATATAGTTGCTATACATCTAATAATTCATACCTATAAGAAGACAACCGACGGCGAGGTTCGCGTTCAAATATCTAATATAGTATGTCATCTTAGGTTTTTTCACTTACCTACACATTTTCAATTAAGAAACGCTCCTGTTTGTCATATTTTACACGAATAAAAGAAAGAGAGAGAGAATGAGGGGTAGGGAGAGAGAGCGTGAGAAATTATTACAGTTTGTTTATCGACGAAAACGAAATTATTTCTGAGCACTTGAATAAATAAAAACGGCCGAAATCCGATTGAAAACGACAAATCAAAATTTAAAACCCCCTATAATTCCACACTCGTTTCGAACGTTATTCTGCTCGTAAATCGTAATATTACACCTACGTGACGAAATTCTATTGTTTTAAAGTACATATTATTACAGTACTTAATATAGGAAGCTAGGCATCAAGTGTATACTTATATACAAATACAATAATTATAGCTGATAGAATTATAGTACCCACCAAAAATAAAATATTTTTTGACGTCAAACCTTCAACAATCATCATAGGGTATAGGTGCCAACTTAATGTTTTTACAGTGTTTTCGAATAGAACAATAGTATTAAATATGTCTTATAGACTACGGTCGTTATCAAATTGAAATGTGTACTTATACAAGAGATGTAATAAAAGAAAGAAGTCTTGCGAGAATCGTGGTTTTAGATTAGAGATTTGGTTGTTAATCACCGATTTTGAAATGAACATCTTCTCCGGTTTTATTTGGATTATAGTGGATTGTGGAAGCTTTTGCCTTTTCGAATTGATTAATTATCCATGTAGGGTATAGGGCGACCCCGTGTAACTATGCATAGCCGTTTATTTTACACGAACCAAAGGGTTTTTAGTATTGCTACTCTCAGTAATTTACTTCGGAGAATTTGTAATTTTTTATTTTTCCGCGAAGGAAGTAGGTGCATAATATATGACACCGGTACGAATAACGTTAGCGCATGCGTCAGTGGTGGGTACTGTGAGTTATAATCGTGTACAATTAAAAATTTCGCTGTTATCCAACGAATAATGGGGGTGACTGACTTTCGTTTTTTGTTTTCCGCAGGATGTCACCTACCGAGTTCGCTAACTACATCAAGCAGCGGGCGGCCATGCAGCAGCAACAAATTGTGGTCGGCGGTGGCGGTGGCTTGCAGCAACAACAGCAACGTCCGGTGTCGCCGGTGCAGCAACACCACCGTGGCGGCCAGAACGGCGACGCGGCGTCCAACTACTTCTTCCAGCAGCAGCAATACAACAACAATCACCAAGGCGGCGGTGTCGGTGCCGGTTACCAAAGGCCACGGCAGTCCAACGGAGGAGGTTATCACAGGAACAGCGGCAACATGGCCAGCGCGGATTATGCACCACCACAATTGCAGTTTGCCAACGGCGGCGGTAGCGGGTGGCAGAACTTCGGAGGCGATTTCGGGCCACAGCACTTTGGCGGCTCACCCATGGGCCCGCTGTCACCGGCCAACTATGGGACGGGGCTTCAAATGCAGTCAGGCGTGACTCCGATGCATCAACAGCAGCAACAGCAGCAGCAGCAACAGCAACAGCAGCAAAAGATGCAGGACAACTACAACGCCATGGGCTTGGGATCGTCGACGTCGTCGTCGTACAGGTCCAGCCCTTTCCAACATTTGTTGGTGGCCAACTGATTTCGGCCGGCTTGGCCGACAAGAGACGGTTAAGAGCGCCCCCTTTCACCACCAAACCCCCTCCCCTTGTGCCGCCCAATGTGGCCCACCCTCCCTCTTGACCTAGTTAAACGGTTGAAGACCGTCCCGCCCCATCCCCCTCCATCCGCCCACCTTGTTATCATTATTATTATTTTTTATATAATACCCTCTTTTAATATATTACATATTATATACATTATACATACATAAGTAAACCCCCTGGCGCGCCTTCCCCTTCTCAGCCTTTAAACGTAAATAATGAAAGTTATTTACATTACATTTTTAGGTATAGGTACATCCGTTATTATTATGTTATATTATTTCCGTTTTTCCAATTCCTGTATTTTAATTGCGTGACTGCAGCGAGCTTGTCTCATCCCGCCCGTCGTCATCATTTTAAAACATTATATACATATATTACTGCTGTTACCATTCGGCTTCTAAAACTATAATTATCTCTATTGACAACATTTTAAATATTTATCGATATAGGTAATATTAGGCCAAGTGCTCTAAAAATACTTCAACTACTTTAATAAATTCTACAATTCGCGCAGACACTTTAAAAAAATGTTTATTCTCTTCGGGAAAATAAAATAAAATATATTATAATAACAAAAAAAAAAAAAAATACAATACAATTTTAATAACATCAATGCATATATTATTATAATATGTGATTGATCACCCACAAGTATTATAATTAGTTTTTTTACACTATTTTTCTTTTCTTATTTTTGACTAAAACTTTTTAATATTTTTAAATTAACGCATATATAAATTTATTTTTTTTAAGCAATTTATGACTTATCGTACAGACTTAATGAGATGTTTTTTTTTAAAAAAAATAAAATATTTTTACCAATGAGAGGATTAGACCTTAATTTATGATAATAATAACACGTACATTATATACATAAATATATAATATACCTAGAGTCCGATGATAATAATTAAAGATACTTTACGTCTAGGTTAATATTATACTTATTATATACACGTATACTATATAGAAATACAATTGAATATTTGATTAAACAATTGATTTACGATCCATTACATTAATGTGTTATATCAAAATATATGTGTTCTGTGAACATCAAATATTCAGTTCTCTAAATAGGTACAAAAACCAAAAAAAAAATTTATTAAATAATAATATTAAATTAATAAATATTCATTTTTCGAGTTAAAATATTTCTACATGTATTCTACATGAATCTCCCTAACCTTTATACCTTTTACCTCATCTTTAGGAATCGTCTTTTTTCTCTTCAAATTCCATGCTCTAACATGTAATATTTAAAACTGAACAGGAACAATCTAATCGCAATAATCGTGAAATTTATAGGCGTTTATTAATAATATAATAATAATAATAATAATCATAAATAATATTTGTAATATTGTAAATCGGCCTAGAATATACGTAAAGTAAAAATTAAATATATTATTTTAAATGACCTTTTGTAGAAATGTAGTAAATTTGTTATGACAATATTAAGAAAATTTAAATTAAAAATTGTTATACTGGAAAATTTATCGATGGATCTCGCCAGTTATTAACTTGTACTTGCATTTTGCAACATAAATCGAGGTTTACTTAAAAAAAAAATCATTATTATTGTTTTCGTCATTATACCTATAGGTAAATATAATATTATCCAATTAAAAAAATTGCATGCGATTTTTTTTTTAATTTTGAAGCTTTAAATTAAAAGTTTTATTTAGTAAATGTTTTATTATAATTTTTTAACTTATTTGGTATTTTTTTACTCTTTATATACATATTAAAGTTATATGAAATACATGGGTTTTTTTTTAGAGTTAGAAACTATTATTTTTTAAGTAGCGAAATTATCGTTTTAGTAAGTTTTTCTTTTTTTTATTTAATTATAATAATATATAATATATACAAATATATTATACATAGTAATAATAATAAATTCATAAACATATATATTTTTTTGTGATTACAATTTAAGCCGTAGGGCATTTTTTTCATGTACTAAAAATGTAATGCATATACTAATATATATGTATTATGTATATAATATACGTATACCTACTTGCATATATTTATATATAATATGAAACGAAAAATTGTATTTTTTACTTTGCACTTTATTTTTTTTTTAATGAATATAATATATTATATATATATGTCATATGAGGTTACCTATATATACCTATACGTGTACCTAACTGTATACCTAAGTATTGAACGTTTTGCTACTCGACCGAAATGTTTGTCTGACGTGTTATAATTATTATAATATAATATTAATTTTTATTATATACATTAGGTACCTGAATATATAGTAAAATGTATATTGTTATTGTTTTTTCCAAAACATATTAGGTTTTTGTGTACACGACGGCGCTCCTCGTCGGTCTCGTCGCCGACAAAACTAATCAGTAATCTTTAGTGTCGTACCTACCTATATAATAAATAAAATAAAACTTAGGTTTAAGAGTGCTTTTGGTCCCACTGTCTTCCAACGTGAAATACCTCCCCCACAAAAACTGTCGTTAAATGTCATACGCTGATGTAGGTGCCTTCCTGCCTGTATATAGGTAATGATAATATATTATTGTATTTACGTTTCGCGTATAATGATGTCTCCCCGTCCCAGCCCTCCTCCCGCCAAAACAAATAAATATAACTTAAAATAAAAAATAGTTGTTATAAAAAAAAAGAAGACTGTTTTTTTACGACATGAGTGCATAACCGTAGTTTTAGTAGACCGACTTTAGCGTAGCGTAGAGAATCCCAGATCCTCCCACCCAACTCCCAAAACAAAAAATTCAAACACGTAAAGTGCGACTGACAATTTTCCTTTAAAATCATTTTCAATTTATTTTCTACAATTTATGTACAATATATATATATAAAATAATAGTTTCGACGATTTCTTCTATACGTGTTTGATTTTATTATAGATGATAAATTATAATAGGTAATAACAATAATAAAATATTATATAACAGACAATCTATAAAAGTAATGTATAATTATCTACATTCAAATTAAATTATAATTTGATGTACACCCGTATTGCCTATATAAATAATATGCCTACTAATTAGGTACATACCGACAGTAAAAATATAACGCTCTACGACGTTCTCGTCGTATTATCATAATAGTTTTGTCCAGCGCGCGTGTGACAGTAATACAGTGACGAAATTGGATAAAAAATTAATAATTTAACGATGATACACGATCAATTGATTAAAAAATACTTTCCTACCCAATGGGACCGGTTTCATCCCCGCTTCTTTCTAACGATCGTTCGTCCCCGCCGTAAATAACTGTACTAAAAACGAATAATCGTACTTTTTACTTGTACAATATCATTATGACCGACACCGACTGATCATTATAATATCGAACAAGTGTTCTTTCAGTTTCTCAGCCCTTCGGATATCGCACCAGTTTCCTATCATCATCGGTGGTGTTTCGAGTGATTTTTAACCGTAGGTATCAAAACCACGGCGAATTGTTTTTCTATTTTATTCATATAGGTATTTGCGATATATTTTTACATGCCCCACTTGACGGTTACCTAAAACATTAACGACGATATTCATAATGTCACATTGTAGGTAGTAGGTAGGTACTAATGCCCTGGACGAGCTCTTTTTTTTTTTACTCGGCACACAATCGGCGTGTTAGTCACTCATTTCTATTATGTAGGTATATTTTTGTTCGTCGTGTTCTTTTCTTCTTTTTATAAATATTCATAAAACGATAAAGCATAAAAACGGGTAACAGTTATTCAGTGTAAGCTCCAGGCCTACCCTTCAAGCCCGTATTCATAATACATCGCATATTGTTTAAAAAAAAAGACACGTTATAATTGCAAACATTTTCTGATAATTATGACTTAGCCCATCTCTCCCCTCCAAAAAAAAAAACCATGTCTCTGGAGCCGACCGTAAGCTCTCTTTTGAAACCACTCATTAATCTGTAACAAAACGAATAAAACAAATGCACTCAAATGTCGTCGTAGCGAAGCAAAAAAATTGTAATAGGTGCACCATCAACAGTATTTAAAACCGCGTTTGATCCGCATCAGAGAGTAAATTTCAGTAAATTTGTAAGACAATTATACGGATAATCCAATATTCCAATGAATAACACAATATACCAGTACCACGGTACCTGCGGCGTTAGGTAAATAGGTAGTATATAAAAAGCACCGCACACGAGGCGCGTCTAGATCAATTTTTAAACTGTCATTTAAATATCAATATGAATAACTAACCTTTTTTTTTTCTTAAAGTTTAGAGTAATACATCCGAGGTATTATGATTGTATAACGTGAGAATAATTAAAAAATTACCTATATGTACTACTACGGTCTACAAAAACGCTTATATTTTTTTGATAGAAAAAAAAATTTTTTTATCAACATATAATATATACTTAATATGTAACGATATAAAATTAAAAAATATGAATATACACAGAACCTCTAAATACGCAAGTATAATTTAATAAAAAAATTATAATATTATGTGGTAGACGTTTTCACTCTATTTTTTCTATTTTTAATCATATCAAAACAAAAATTGTTTTTGAATATTTCAAATCTTTATTAGACATATACATTACATTATATACAAGCATAAGAATACTTATTATTAATGTACATAATTTTGGAGTAAATTATGTTTAAGTTATTTGTAAAACATTGGCTTGACCAATTTCTCGGTGTTACAAGTTACCTAAATAGCGTAAAGAAAAAATAACTGTAATAAAACAATGTATGTTTCAGCAGTTTTAAGACTTAGGACCATTTTTCATTTTTTGCTTTTTGATATATTATAAAAGAAAATATATATATTACACAATAAGCATGTATTTTATAATTTTGTTTTTACATTATTAAATCTAAAATATGGCATAATATATATAATAATGTAATTTTAGTTGTTTGAACATTTTTCTAAAATATTATTATAAACTTCAAAAAGAAAAATTTTATTTTAATGGTCATGTTTTGTTATAAAAAAATTTAATAAATAATAAATTATATTATTAAATGATTTTTTTTTTTACAAAAATAGCTTATAATATATATTTTATGTAATAGTTTTAAGAACATACGTCATACAAGTTAAATCTAAAGGAATTAACATATAACTATATAAGTCAAAACTAAAGAAAACAAACGTAAGTTAAATAAATGAGATTGTTAACTAAAAAAAATAATTATTAACAAGTCATCATATGAGTAAATATAGATTTCGTCGAGTATTTATTATCCAATAACATTAGAACAGCAAAAAAAATTTCTTTAACCCTATCTTTGGTCAATTGGAAAAAACATTTTATAATTTAAAAAGATAGGTGATACATAGTCAAATCAAAGTTCACAATTCAAACAATGTCTAATTTCAATTTAAAATAAACAAGCCCGATCACAATAAATAAATAATAAGTAAAATACATACTTATTAAATAATAATAATAAAAAAAAAAATTATAGTCAATATTTAACTAATTATTCTGCATACATATTTCCTTCAGCTATCATTTAATGGATATCTGAGTATGCATAAAAAAAATTACAGTTAAATTCAGTACATTTTGTAACAATATACGACAATAAATATTTAGGTTACAATTTTAAATTCAAAATGAATAATATAAAAAAACAAATCAGTCAGGAATAATATACTACTACAGCTAAATATTTAATTGTTATTATTTAATTATATATTTTGGAATTAATGTGAAGGATTCAACATTAAAAACAAATAACACAATTAAGTATTTAAATAAAATGTATTCTAGTGAAACTTTTGAAAAATGAATACGATACATCATTACTTACATCATAACTATGTACTTAAAGTCATGATTATAAATTTACTAATATAATCCTTTTCTCAACAGAAAAAAAAATAATATGAAATAGGTAATTTTTAAGTTAATAGCTATTAGGATTTACCTGGTTACGGAACTACAGAAATTATTTAATTAATATAAATAACAATACCGAATTGAATTTTAATAATCGAGTAAAAATTTGTAAGTAAAACTATGTTTAGTTTAACTTTATTGGAATTATGTGATAAAAACATGTTACTCCACATTTTCTATTAACAATTTATTCAAATCCGGTTTATCTTCAACTTCACATTGCATGTATATATCACCATTGGTTAACTCCATTTCTTGGCATGCAAAACCGTTATTGTAATCAACATTTGAATCTTCCTGTTCCTGTTCTTGTTCTTGTTCCTGTTCTTGTCCTTGTTCCGGTTCCTGTTCTTGTCCTTGTTCCGGTTCCTGTTCCTGTTCTTGGTCCTGTTCTTGATATTGCAAATTGCTTGTTTCATAAAAATTTGGAGGTTCTTGTTTATGAACATATGTTCCATCATTCATTTCAACTTTCACATGACAAAAACTATGATTGACTCGTACTACATCCATATGAATATCGCCGTCTTCATCGTTATTTTGATCAAACACTTCTTGTTTTATTGATAACAATGGTGACGATTCTGGCATACTGGGTAAATGGCGTTGATACTCTTCCACAGTTTTAAACTCAGTTAGACATTTTTGGCAGTAGATTAAATGTTGCAATCGGCAATAAGATCCTGTCACAGTCAAATGCTTAAAAAAGATAGTCATATCAAAGAAACGTTTTTCGCAGTTATTACAATAAAAGTTATAAAATTTGAGCAGCTTTTGTCTAGCTGTATTGCAAACTGTATTTGAACTGGCAAGTTCTTCATCATTTTCATTCTCATTTGCCCCTTGCTGTGTATTTTGCATAGCAAATTTCATTCGTTCCTCAACTTTATCTTTTTCATCCGGTCCCATTGCATATCTCATTTTCAATTGGAAATATAAACAATTAGAATTTGCATGTTCCATACATGTATCATCATCAGTACTTGTAAAAGTACAATTGTTACATTTTTGATGAAGTTTATTATTAATGATACCTAATTTAAACGATTTGCAGTACAGAACATGATTGCGAATTTCTCTGGGTGTTGTATCCGTGAAAATAAATTTACAATGAATACATCCATAACTATTCAATGAATTTGTACCGACTCTCAAGGTATTTGTGCAGTGTTCAATATGTTCGCTAAATTGTTCATTGAAATAACTGTACTCACATAGAGGGCACAATTTTATTCCTTTTTCTTTCAATTTAATTGAATGTCTATGTTTAATCAAACTATGATCAATATATTTGAGAACTGTATTAAAATAATCAGGACAATAATTACACTTAATACTTCCGTTGTCTATAATTATCTCACTGTGTGGTACATTGTCAGGTACATTAAAACCACCTTTTAGGTCGTTCGATTCCATTTTTTTAATAGTCAGATTCGGTTTTTGTAGGGTACGTGATCGGTTGTTACTTGTGACAACAATTGCACAATGATTTATAAGTTTATGAAGAACTAATTCAACCATTGATGGGAAAGTTAAAGAACAACATTTGAATGAATCTGATAAATTCTGGTGAACATGATCAAACGGAATTGATCTTCTAGAACACGTTAAAACACCAAAGCATTTATGACACAAACAAGTCGAACTGCCGAGTTTCAAATGAGTTCGGTAATGTGGAATAAAGACCTCTTTATTGGGAAATACCGAGTGACAATCTTCAATGAGACAGGCATATGGTTTGGAATGTTTGGAACAAAATAATATATGTTTATACACATTTCGCGATACTTCTTCATTCTGGTAAGTGCAAAATATACAAACAAATTCTGCTTTAAAAGAACTAGATATGGCAGCAAACATTTCTGATGCGCGCTCATGATCAACATCCATTGAAATCCAAGTTGGATTAAAAGTTTCTGCTGGTAAAATTTCATTCATGGTATATGATGGAATAATTTCTGTTGAAGTTGATGCAATTTGAATAATTTCTGTTGAAGTTGAAGCTAATGGAATACTTTCTGTTGAAGTTGATGCAAATGGAATAATTTCTGTAGAAGTTGAAGCGAATGGAACAATTTCTTTTGAATTTGATGTGGATGGAAAATCTGGTTCATATTGCATAGACTCTGTATCTATTGATGGAAATTGGTGAATAGATGCTGATGCAGATTGTTCGATAGATTCTGATGGTGATTGAATCATGTCAATGGATGATGACGAAGATGACGATTGTGTTTCATGCTCGGGTATTGGAGAGGATCTTTTTTTTCTCTTAGCCCTTTTTGGTGTTATTTTCTTCTTTTTGTTTGAAACGAACAAGGATCGTTTATTCGCAATCTGGGGTGGTGGTGCTAGTGCAGGTGACATATATGTCTATGACAAAAAAAAAAATCAAACTATAGTAATAAATATACATAGGTATAAACACAGTATATAGATTATAATGCAATATGAAGCCTACTTGGTGTTAATGTTGAATTTTTTCATTTTTTTAAGAAAACATAGCACCCTAAAGTGTTGAATATTGTTAATGGTTTGTACATCTTAAAATACTCTAACTTCCTTTAAAATTAAAATATAATAAAAAGCATATGAGATGCCCTAGATAATAATCTTACCTTTTAATCTTGTAAGAGGTCAATTCACTCAATTTTTAAGCTGGCATAGCCGAACATAATTATGCTAGGAGTAGAATTTGCTGTTAAGCTTTTATCAGACAGAGAAAACACATGCAAGTGCTACGTCCTCTTCTTAAAAGTTATACCAGAAACCAAAATTAATTTTGTGTAAAAAATTCCTGTTAATCATTATTTTTTTGGTTTCCAGACGCTTTCAAAAATGTCTGAGAATTTTAAATTTTAACCTCTTGAATGCACCAACTAGATGCCTTTTCCCACCCTACAAAAATTTTGAAGTTGAAACTCAACCTTTTATTTTGTCTACTTATTGTGTACACAGATACAAAAAAACAACACAAATCATTGTAAAATCAATACATTTATCCTTCTGATCAGAATGTCAAAAATGTAAAACCATCAAACATCCTACTTTATTGATAAATATGTTGTATTTAACATGTAGATACCCAATATTATAAAATTTGATTTCAGTTAATATTTAGTTTCTTTGTAAATTATTAACATCAAACAACCATACCAACAGTACAACCTCAACAACTTATTATATTATTAAGAAAAATAAATTAAAAATAAAATTTCAAGCTTATATTTCTAGGTATAGACCATAGATATAGATATCAATTATAGTAATGAACCTTCAATTATTGTCAACATACTTTTTCAGCTAAATAATTCACTATCACTTGGTTTGCTTTAGCTTCTTCGACTTGTCCTCTCCATACATCAATATGTTCCAGGCAATATTGACATAACTTAGTAGATTTTCCTTCATCGCCTGTAATCTAGAAATATAATTTCATTAAAAATCATAAATTTTGTCAGAGTATGTTTTACTAATTTTTTGGTGTAATTATCTATATACCTACTTATTTGTATTAAAAAGTTCTGTTTTTATATGTACTATATTTATCTTAATACGAGCAATTTTGAAAAATTATGAATTCAGAGTGATTTTAAATAAATGTCTACCGTTTTCCGTAGGAAATATTGGATGAAAGATTTAATGTATATACATACAAGCGGCGAGCATACAAGATTTATTTGAACCATACGTAAAAAATACTTTTGAACACAACCAACACATCAATATGAAATTGACTAATACTGCATCACCTATAATGGTAAGATAATTTTAATTTGTAGATAGCATATTAAGCCAACACAATATTACTTAGGTATCACATTTTATACAATTTTAAAGCATTTACAATTATTGGAGAAACCAACTTTGGCCATGTATAAACATACTTTACGATAGGTACTATACAAGTTATAAATTATAATTTATTACAAAGCACATTACTAGACCAAGGCTTAAATTATTTATTACTTTAAAAAAAATGACACAATTTAAATCAATAGCATCTCGAATAGCATTGAACAAAATTCTTTTAATATTTATAGATATTTGGACTCTGCTTAACACAACTGAAAAAGGTGGCTTCAGAAACATCGTATTTAATTACACATTTAATACTACATCCAAAACTAGAATATTTGATAGCTTGTGCATATAATAAAACTAATTAAATAGGTAGCCCGCATTAACAGGGAAGTGTTAAATTTTTTTGGTTTGAATTAATGAGATTGCAACACTGGTGGAGACTCAGATAACAGAAAAGTACCTATTTTTGTCATTAAAAACCTAGTATTTAATTAAAACTTTCTAAGGGCCATTCTTAAAAATAAAAGGTTAAGTGTCACTTATGACTTACCAATTCTATCAATAAACACAAAGGAAATTCTGCCAGTTAACATTATATTTATCACACACTAAACCTAACATTGTAACTTGTAAGAACGGCCTGAAGAGTTAAAAACAGGGAAGATATATTTTTGTGTAAAATCAAATTTTAAAATAAGTTAAAAAATTTGAAATATTAATGTAAAAATTAATATGATTTATAATTTGTTAATCAACAATAATTTATTGTACTTCAGTAATTAATCATTAATTATAATTAAACTTTTAATAGGACGTGATATCTGCATGTGTTGTCTCTGTCTTTCAAGTGCGTAACATGGCAAATTTTACGCTCAGCAGAACACGTGTAGCTCCGTTTGTTTAAAAATTAGTGCGAATTGACCTCTTATAAAATCTAAAGGTAAGATTATTATCTAGGCGACCTCATAGGTTTTTAATTTAATTTTAATTTTAACGTGAGTTATGAGTATTTTAAAATTGTAAATATTTTATACATCTTAAAATACTTATAACTCGCGTTAAAATTAAAATATAATAAAAAGCCTATAAGGTTGCCTAGATAATAATCTTACCTTTAGATTTTATAAGAGGTCAATTCACTTTAGTTTTTAAATTAACGGAGCTACACGTGTTCTGCTAAGTGTACAATTTGCTATGTTACGCACTTGTAAGACGGAGACAACACATGCGGGTATCACGTCCTCTTAAGTGAATTTCATTGTTTTTGGTCCAGACAACCAAAAATTTGGTAATAATGATAATCATTGTTGAAATAATATTCTAAGAAACATTAACTAACTTTAATTAAATAGGTACCTAGTTAAAAAAAAACTTTTTCAAGGTTATTCTTTGACTATATTCTGTCCACTGAGAGAACGCAACTCGCTCGTACATCCAAATGAACCAGCACCACTGTCTTATGGTCAAATTCTTTCACCATACGACTACCAGAGCTGGTGTAATGGTGAAAATGCACAGCAATAGACTAGTATTTGTGGCCTTCCAGTTGCATTCTCTCGGTAGATGGAGTATATTGTATAGGTTCTCAACATTCATATAACCTAAATAACAATAGGTTGTTAACGCCTAAATTAGTTTCTTTTATTTAAGTGAATTAATGTCTAAGAAATAAATTTAGAAGAAAATAAATAATTTGGCTACAAATCCCTAGTATTAATGCAAGATGTTTATTATATAAGAATACAATTTGATACTTTAAAAAATCAACTTTAATTTATCTTTAGTCGAAGAAAATAAAAAAAAAGTAGAATGACACTCAATTGACAAACTACCATTTCTGTTATTTGTGGAAATTTTTTAGTAATATTTTTTGACTGAAAATATATGATAATAATAATATATAATATAATATATATATACTGTTTATTATATAAAATATACGCAAGAAATTTAAATTATAACATTGCTAAAACTATGTCACAATCATAACAATGTTTCATATACATATAATATAATACCAAGTAAGTGCGGTTTATAAGATTTCAGTAGTGCTAACCAATATTTTTGTACTAACTGACGTCCTATAACCTGTACATTATTATTATCACTAAATATGTACGCATTCATAGAATAAAGAATAAGAAAAAATGCTTAAGACTGTACATGTTTTTGTTCTACTTGACCATCGCCTTATGTTGTGTGCATACTGCACAGTATATGCATGCGATGTCAGATTGAATTAATTGTCGGTTGCATATAATATATTAAAAATAGATACATTTCCCTTTAAGAAATATGCAATGTTATCGCTGAGCATACTTTTTAATCCTTATACTATGTACATAGAGCGAACAATTTAGAACCCATGGTTATGACGTGGAAAGGTATGGCTTATCTGCAGCGTCTAGCACCAAATATCGCTCCTGCAACTAGACGTCACAATATTCGACTGTCAAGGTAACTATACCTTAATTGTTACATTAATTCTGGCGGCTCAAGACCGCCCCCCCCCCCCAACAAAAAAATCACCACTATTACCGTCAACGCAAGTAGGGTAGTACTGTAGTAGGTATGTGTATCCAGAGCGCAGTGTGCAGTGTAAACAATAAATCATAAATTTTGCAATAAAATAATCGTAACATAAACCGTCCAACGGCAATGCTGACTTGAAGAAAAAAAAAATTGATGAAACACTAAGACCTCAACACGCCATTGGATGCATCTGACAGTGCGGAAAAAGGGCTTTATACAAGAAATGGCAATAATCTATTTGCCTCAAATTGTCATAAAGGCCGAGGTCTGACGGACGGGATAACGGGAGACAAATACGAAACAAAAGTGATGGGCAGGTACGCGCGAACAACAATACTTACTTCCACTTTGTAATACTCCTTGACGTACTGAACCAGATGCGGTTCGTCGGGTCCCATAACGTCGGTGTAAACTTGAGCTCTATCGGACAGGCAAACGCGGCACATCTCGAGCGGGTTGAGAACGACATTGTTGTTGTAATAATTATTGGCATTATTACCAGTGGTTAGGGACAACGTCATGTTGATCGGTCAAAAAACGTGTGGACGGAAGGTGCCGGAGTTGGTATCCGCCGCAAGCACGCCTGCACGCAGCACTGCGTTACACAACAACTGTTGAACGTCAAACCGCAGTGGCCAGCGAAGTGGGAACGGAACGCACACAAAACAGGACTGGAAAAACAAAAATACACCGGGCGGGTAAAAAAAAAATGTGGCTTCGCCGGCAAGACCAGGCAAACGGGTTACCAGAAACCAAATGGCCGGCCGAACGCTAGAACGGCGTCAGTGCGTCACAACAGCAGTTCGTGAGTAGTACACAAAATCACCACCGAAATTGGTGATTGGTGGGGTACGCATACAGCAGCTGCCGCCTAAACGGAAACCGTAAGCGTTTAATGCGGAGTGGGGGCACAAGGTTGTTGGCGTCTCACGGCTTGTTTTGTGCACTGCCACCAACCATGGCTCGGAGAGCGGGCACATGAACGGACGCGCGGTATGATGCGTTCCAAGGACGATGGAAACAGTGTTTAAACGATAGTGGCACAAATACTTTGTAACCTGTTCCAGGTATTTAGCGGCAATTTTAAATTTGACTTGTAGTGCGTTTCGAGAAATGGCGATCAAACCCAATTGCAGGAGAGCGCCATTTCAGGTTTCAGTGTAGCAGAGTGCAGTTTGACACACCTATTTTTTCTGCTCCATATTGGCCTGCCATAAAATTTACAAATTCCGACGACTCATACGTAAATGTTGAAAATATATTATGGAAACCATAGTGATTATAATTTAATATGTACGAAGATGAAGTATAATATTCATTACTTATAGATGTATAACAAAAGCTGTTTCCAAATTAATTTAATTATTATGTATACAAACCTTCAACCCTATACATAAAATGCATATATTTACCAAGATGTATCAAGGGGCTCGATAGTGATAAACAATTGGCATGCCAAAATTATGGCACCCCTATACAAAAAACTCAAACAGTGCCACCACCTAGTGAACACGGTCCTGTATAATCAAGAGGTAGTGATTATAATTATTGTTTAATCCAGTTTATTAAAATATATTTTTTAAGGATCTTGAAAAACAGTTACCTACTTATTTTTAAAATTATTAGACTATAAATACTAAAATATCATAAGTACTATTAATAGACACTTTTAAATTTGTTCACCCTCAAATCAACTGAAACAATTTTTTTTGGGGGGATTTTCACGTGTTAAATTTACTTCGTAGATCATTTCACAAAGTATCATTTGGTATAACTATAAATTACCCATTCTTTGTTTATTTATTTGAATTTTTAGTTGGGTATAAGTGATATGAAAATTATATTATTTTATTCAACTAATGACAATTATACTATTAATCAAATATGTATTTTTTGCTCAACATAATTTAAATGAAAGTAGAAAATATATCAACTAAAAAAGAAAAGGCATTAGATTTTCATAATTTTTGAGATAGCCCTTAAAGTACGTAGTTGAGTCCTGAAAAATATTAGAATATTTTTGTTCAAGCACTTTAAAAGACTGGTTTTATCACAGATTAAATACATTTTTTAAATTGAATCTGTTTTTTTTATCTTAATTAATGTCTTCAAAATTAAAAGCACAACAATGTGATTTTAAATGCATCGGTTATAATTATTATTCCTCAACAAATATCTCCCCCCTCCCCTGCACAATTCAAACACTGATTATAAGACAATTCATTATGTCTTTGTGATGTTAGGTATAAACTACAACAATAATACAATAATAAATGTAATTTTGTTCAATATTGATATATATTATATTATGTGTATTTTTACTTTTTAGTACACTTAAGTCATATTTAATAAACCTTAAGAAAAATATAGAAATGTAAAGCAATATTTAAAAATGTTAGGTATACAGAATTAAGAGGTGATATTTTATTACAATATGTCATTTGTAAATAATGATACAACTGGTACAAGTTTAAGGTATTAGGTCAGTTTACATTTATACAGAAAACAATGTTAAAAAGTCTGAATACCATTATAAAAGCTTAGCAATTTATTTCATTTATTAAAAGTACATTTCTTAATAATTATATATATTTAAATTCAGTAACACATTTAAAATGAGTTAGTTTAATTTTTTATTAAAAAACTATTAAATCATAACTTAATTAGATGTGTTGGTGTACTATAGTAAAAAGAATACATATTAAAATAAAAAATGCCTAAGACATTTTAGGAAAAAACATTTTTTATAAAAATCGGTATGTAGTCTACTTTATGTTTTAACTTATTCATTAAATTCAATAATAATAAAAAAATTTAATTGTTTATTAAATTAACTGTTTCATCAGTTGTTCAATACAATTTTTTTAAAAACTTAAATAATTTTATGACACAAAATTAATTTCAACAAACGTAATCATAAAAAAAAAAAAAATGGTTATCCAGCAAAAAGTAAAACTATAATATTTTCAGTGTATGTATATTTTTTTAACTTCCGAGTTATAAAAAGATATTTGTCATTACACTTTACTTAAATTTTATAAAGTTAGCTTCAGTGTTGACTGAACGTCTGTGAAATAGATTAAATTTTATTTAGAAAATGATAAAAATTAATAAATTTGCTTGTCCCTTGGTTTTTTATCCATCTGAAGAAGGGAGTGCTTGAACTGAGTTATTGATTTTGTTTTCATTTACACCATTGACAATGACAATTTCGATATCATTTAATGCTACCAATTCACGGCCTATACGATTTTGCTTCTCTATAACAGAAGATGATATACTTGTTTCATTTTTATCAACTTTAGTGTTTGTCTTGTCAATATTGACACATTCTGAAACATCCATTGAGTGTTCATTATTAACTGCCATTGTATCATCATCATCATCATCATCATCCAAGAGACTTATAATATTTTCATCATCATTCAATTGATCCATCATTTGATTTATACTTTGAGCAGTGTAAACGTCAGTTTCATTATCTCCATCATCATTACTATTGCTTATACCCTGTTCTTCATTGTTTTGTACGACACTGATTTCATTATTTCTTTCATTTGCATTATGTTCAGTGATATTTTCTTTAATGTTGTTATCGGACACTCCGCATTGATTTGATAATGTATTAGCATTTGCTTCTTGTTTAATTTGTACATTGTGTTCCTTATTATTTTCAGTAATTGTTTCAGGAATATTGTTGGCCCATGATGTTTGAGGAATATTGTTGGCCCATGATGTTTGAGGAATATTGTTGGCCCATGATGTTTCAGGAATATTGTTGGCCCATGATGTTTCAGGAATATTGTAAGCCATTGCCATTCTTTCAGAAATATCGTTGGCCAGTGCAATTATTTTAGACCTTTCGTTGGCCGCTGATGTTGTTTCAGCAATATTGTTAGCCAATGATGTTGTTTCTGATATAATTGGTAACATTTCTTCATTGTTCATAGGAGTTATATTAGATGGTAAAGTTACATTATCCTGTAAACCATGCACATGTTCCATATGCATTGTTAATGCTACTAGGTACATAAATTGAAAGGGACATTGTTTACACGTATACCTTCTATATTTATGATATGGAAGTCTCTTTCCATGATATATTCTCCAATGTTGAAAAAACGATAGGCGTGTAAAATATTTTTTACATTTAGTACAATAATAATTTTCAGGTACTCTTTTCAAAGTATTTTTATCACAAAATTGCCTATGTCTTGCCAATCCTGAATTTGATTTAAATTTTCTAGGACACTTTTTACATCTAAATAAGTATGATTCATAATTATTAGATTCCATTGTTCCATCGGTTCGAGTATTATCAGATAATGTATTCGTTTCATCATCTATTTCATTGTTTCCATCATCAGGATAGTCGATCATGTCATTATTCATACATTCAATTATACCGTAATCATAAGAAGTACTTGGAATTATTTCTTCACCAGGTTCATGTTTAATACCAGAGTTGGCCATCATAAGATATTCTTCTTTCATTGCCGATATTGGTTCTTCTGTCGTTCTCGGTAATTCTTTGATCAATTTTATTTTTGACCCAGATGGATTGTGAGTCTTTGTATGACTTGATAAAGTTGCTGCTGTCTTACTCGGTAATTTTTTTATCAATTTTATTTTTGGCCGAGATGGATTGTGAGTCTTTAAATGACTTGATAACGCTGCTGCTGTAAGACACACTTTATTACAAACATTACATTTATAAGGACTTTTATACTTTTTTGTGTAGGTAGCTTTAGATTTAGGCTTAATTTTTAAACGTTTATCTACATTATTGTATTGACATGTGATCAAATGAGATTTAAAGTTATGAATAAGAGTTCCCTTATTACAGTATCTACACATAATACTTTTATTATTTTTTTTATTTGCTATTAATTCACCATCATGTAAGGTAAATTTATGAATACTCAAACTTTCAAGATCATCAAATTGTTCAGAACATTGATAACATTTGAACATGCCAGGAATACGACAGTTACCTTTTACTTGATGAACTCTAAGACTATTTAAAGTAGGAAATGGCACACAGCATTGCCAACACATCAACGTATTTCCTAATTCAAAATGTTCACGATGATGAAATTTAAAAACATTAAAGTTTTGGAAGATGAGATTGCAAGAAGGTTTTAAACAAGTAAAAAGTACATGCGTTGATGAACGTGGAATCTTTTTCACATATCCTCTTCTACGTTCCAGTACATTCTTTGGAGGACTTTTCTTAACTGGTATTAAATCAGTTTCATTTTCAGTAGGTTCTTTAAGTTTCATACCGTACTCAGTTACATTTTGTGTCTGGTTCTGAACACAATGCTTACTATGCTCAATAATTTGTGTTAGATCTGGAGCTGATTTTTCACAATAAAAACATAAATAATTACCGAAAGAGTTCATTAATCGGCCATTATGTGATTTTAATTTGTGATAGGCGAATTCCTCCATACTGTTAAATACAACATTACATGCATAACATTTAAATAAATTTACAGTACGGCAACTAATGTGAAAATGACCACTGGCATCACGGTCAGTTGTTTTAATTTCTTGATAGCAACGACGACACATAACTGCAGTTGAAGACAAACCAATATGTCTGCGATAATGTGGTGTAAAATCTTTTTTTGATCTTGATAGAATGTTACAATTAGGCACCAAACAAGTAAAGAAAGATTTATTGTATTGAGAACAATCATGGTTCAAAATATTCTTCTTTTGACAGATGGAGCAGTAGTATAATTTTTCAACTTCATTTATGCATTCATTTTTGCAAGTTTCTTCGTTGTCTGATGATAATAAATCAATTGTTTCAACTTGGTTTTCTACTTCTACACATGATATAATATCATCATCCGATTCACTATCAACTGTTGCTGATTTTGAATGATTTGTGATAGATGAGCAACTAAAATCACCTTGTTTATTATTACTATTGACACTATTGCTCCCACTACTACTGCAACCATTTACATTATATTTATTTGTATTTAATTGTTTTGTAGTAGATCGAGAATTTGTGAATGAAGATGATGCATTGGAAGACTGTTCTTTATTCCTTGAATTTGGTGATGAATAAGATGCATTAGATGTTCCAGGGATAGAAGTACCAAACTAAAAACAGAAACATAATGATTTAAAATAATATACTTAATTAAGTTTACAAAGCTTTAATTGTAAATGAGTATGTTTCTAATATTAAAATAGTATGGTACCTATGTACTAATAAAAAAAACAAATTACTTAAGTTTCAATCAGTGACAAATCCTAAACTGCTAACTAATTCATAAAAACTAATACTTATTAACAATCTATATCATATAGATATTTTCATATCTATAATATTTAATTTGAAAATAAAATAAATAATTGATAAAAGATACTATTTAATAATAGAAAATATTGTTTAGGTCGATTACTCAAAAATCAAAATAAAATATGGCAATATTATGGTATTGAATGTGTCTAATAATGGTAAATAGTTGTTTAAAAATGAATTACTTACCAGGCTCAAAAATCAAAATATTAGAGGCCTGTTTACAAATAAAACTATGATCATTTTGGTTTCGATTTGCCAGTCCATTTAGGAACTTTACTGTCTGGTGGGCTGATGTGTAATTTCCTATAGATATTAGTGGAAGACATAGTAATTTTGTTCAAAATTAAAATTATAATACAATCAAATAATCACTTACTTAACTGACTTAACTAAAGAAGAAAAATAATGTACTACTTGTTATTAGTTATTTATCTCTTATAGTTAATATTTTAATAGCAGTTTAAAATTATAAAGACGTACATAATACAATTTATTTCAGTTTTTGTAATATATGGATAGGACATTAAAATAGTATTATTTTGATAATACAGTTATTGATTAACAATTAATATTTTTAGTTTAGAGACTTTGTTTAACTGTTCATACCTAACTGTTTATTTAGTGGCACCAAACCTCAATATTTTTAAATTATTACTTTAAGTCAAAAGTGTATATGTTTACTATGTATCTATTAATAAAGTAAATAAAGTGAACAGTTTAAATTGTATAAACTTATCATAGTAATAATAATTGGACTGCTTAGTAGATGTTGTGCATTTTATATTATTCATAAAATATAAACCCCGAACAAAATGCCCATCAATTTAGGTATAATAGAGCTTTGTTGTATAGAATATAATGTGATATAAAAATACAAGATTTTCAACCTTTTTAAATAATTATAAGTTTTATCAATATCTTCCTCTATACATTTGGTAATGGGAGTATTTAGTTTAAATAATAATACATAATAATGAAAATCAAATTTTTACAGTTTTAATTCTGATACATACGTACTTAGGTATAAATCTTGCAAACAAAAATAAAGTAGGTGCAATATAATATGAAGATATATGTAATATATGAAATATATGTAGATCACCATAATAGATGTATTACATTTTAATTCAAGAATAAATTGTTGCATACAAAAAGGATTTTGACAGCCTTTATTTCTAAAGATATTTGGGTAATGATTATTGTTAGTTTATTTTTCTACAAGTAAAACTATAGGTTGAATTAATTTTTTCCAAAAACATCTCATTTATTATATTATTGTTATCAATTTTCAAGTCAATACTGATGTACCCTTCAACGATGTGAATAGGTCCATGGTAAAAACACCTTCAAATTAATCTCAATATTTTAAAAATATCATTGGGTATAGTGAATAATAATATATGTAATAGCAAAAAAGTTTAAGTCTCCACAAATAGTATCTTTTTGAATTACAATAAAATAGCCAATAAGTAGTAAAAATTATCATTTTATATTTAAATATCGAATTTTGTTTTATTTGAACTCAATAGCAAAAAAATTGTGCAATAAATATAATCTAAAAATTTCAACTTTTTTATATTTTTAAATTGCTGTAAGTTTAAAAAAACCTTGTTATGTATAAGTGACCCAGGTCGCTTTATTGAGTGTGAAAAGTTTGTATTAGACAAATTACAAGGTAATTTATTAAGGTATTTATTTATTTTTGTTATATTATACTTTTTATGAAAGAAAAAACTGTTTACAGAATGTTAGGTACGCAAAACCATTTCACGGTCTACAATATCTTGCATGAATCAAAAAGAAGTGGATTTATCCCTCTGTGAATTTCTTCACTACTTTTTAAACAATGTCCTCCTGTAAAAAAAAATTAAAGGAAGACTGCAGATGAAGTATGCTGTCTTAAAAACACTAATTTAGATTAAAAATACTCTCTTAATCTAATCATTTTTTTTTGGAATCTCGATAAAAAAAAAAAATATTATTTATGGGATGAAATCTAAAGCAATTGCGTCCATAGGGGGGGGGGGGAAGATACATTTTTTACCTACACAATAATTTACATATTAACAAAATTTTAACAAATTTCATAAAAATGTAGTTATAAAAAAAATGGTAAGAATTAATTTTGTTATTTTTTAATTGCAGTAAGAACATGTTATGAAGAACCTTGTATTATATTTACAAGCTTTTTAATTTACAAGCAAACATCTATATTATGTATATAGGAGACCGCTCCTATTCCCTCATCAACACCCAGACCAAATCGCTTTGTCTAGAGACTTGACATTTTGTACGAAGGTTCCTTAAGCAATATAGGTGCCCACTAAGGAAGATTTTTTCAAAATTTGACCTCTAGAAGGTAAAAGGGAGGTTTTTAATACAGCTATAATGTGAGGGTTGCAATCGTGGGTCGCCGATTACCTGCGACTGGTTTTATTAATACCAGTTATATCATTGATAGTGATTACTAATTATTAAATTGTGAATTCCACTTAATACTAGCACTACCAACACAGTTCAATTAAACACTTATACACGGCCTACAAAAACGCCAACAAAGAAACAAATATACAGGCAATGCCGTGACGGGGCAGCTAGTCTTATCATATTATATAAGTTGAAAAAATTTGTATAACTAGCATAGAATATTTTAAAAAGTATATCACATTTTAATCAAGAAAATTCCTAAGTGAATATTAGGTGAAAAAAAACGAAATTTCTACAGATTTTTTAATTTTTCAATTGCAATAAAAAAATATATTATTAATTTAGGCAAAAATGAAATTTTACTTGAAAAATTGCATGTATTTCTTCAAGTGTTTTATTTTTAAGATATTTTTTTAAGGCAGGGGTCTTCAAACTTTTTAAAAGGGCCACAAAAGTTCTTGGTGGATCAAAAATGTACAAACACATTTAATAGAAATATATATTGATAAATATTTTAAAAATAGTTCTTTAGTTTTTATAGTATGTAGGTATTGTCGGGATGGCCATACTCGAATTATAAAAAAAAATGAAGTAAAGAAAAAGATTTAAAATAAACAGTAATTATTTGTAACATATTTTATAAGCCGTACACCACACTCGGTCACTTGATAATCATAAAATAATAATAATAGTAAATAATAATACAAAGAATAATATTATCAATATTGTCATCAAACACAAACATGAAAAAAATGGTAAATCCACAAATAAAATTATAATTATTGTCACTTCAGTATAAGATGTTAAATATAAGAAAAAATTGTTGTAATAAATGGCATTAATACAAAAATTAAATGTTTTTTTTTAACATGATTCATTGTGACTTGTGACAGCGCATGGATATTGTTGAGCTATTGTGACAATCGGGATAACGGTAATAGTCTTAGGTGGTTGTTGCAATAATAGGGGTAGTCCAACAGGAACGTACCTACTTAATTATAACTTTTAAAGAATATAAAATATATATATATAACTGTGGTTTTTGTGTTGCACAACTGTAGACTATAATATTTAAATATAATTAAGGGTGCAAATACTCAATTATTTTAAAATGTAAACCTATGTTTAAGTTAGAGGTGAGTGTTTGAAAATGTTGAACTGTTTTTTGACATCTCATTTCAAATCAAGTTTGGTGTCACTGTATTTAATTGATTATTACTACCCATAATTTATAGAATTAATAGAATATTATTCATTATCCATCATTGTTCATCGTGACATTAGTTGATTTTAGTTATTTAAAAATTGTGAAACAGAGAGCCTAGACCTAATTAAAACTTTAATTCTTACCAAATATTCAATGCAAGTCTAAATTAAGCGCTATAGAATTAAAAAATAACAATAATTACATGAATTAATTAATTTTAGTATAACAGTTTTAATTAATAGTTTAAGAAATGTAGATACACCATTAATATTGAAACATGGAAATTAGGTTAATAATACTAAACTAAATTTATAAATGGGATTTTATTTAAACTAACATCTAGAACAAAAGTTTGATAATTGAAAAAATACTAAACTCAAATAGTGAGGTCAGAACAATTACTTTTTCAGATAAAAAAAATCAACTTCTAAATTATTGCAGTGCCAGTACAGGTTTTAAATAAATTTATTGAAACAAAAATTTAAAAATAAAAATCGAATTTAGAAATACAAATTTAATCTATAAAGAAGATCTTCAAAAAAGAGTAAAGACGTATCATCCGCATGATTGTGTTTTAAATGCGTAACATAACAAATTTTTGTTCATTAGGGCTCATTTAGCTTTGTTAGTTTTAATATTAGAGTAAATTTACCTCTTATTTAAATTTAAAGTTAAAACATATTTTCTGTGGTTCTTGGGTTTTTTTTTAGATATTTTTACTGTGAAATTAGAGATAGTTATAAGTATTTTAAAATGAAAACCTTTAACACTGATACCTAGATTCAAAAATAAAAAAATTGATCAAACAAACTACTGATAATGTTACCTTAGTGTTTAATAAAATTAATTCTCTCTAGTATCAAAACAAACAAAATCGATAGCTGAATAAAAAATGTATATGATGCACTTGTAAGACAGACATAAATGAGTAAATAATATTCATTCAATTTTAAATCAGTCTATTTTAGAGATTTAGGTAAATACATAGGTACCTGAGATGTGAGTTTTATAATTTGACTTAGCTATAACGCTTACTAAAATAGGCATATACTAACATCAATTTATAAAAACATACCATATTATGTTGAAGCATTTTAAAAATAAATAGAATGTATATATATATAAAAAATATAAAAGAATACATATAAGGAAACAACTCGGACATACTTTTTTTGTAGCAATGTAGTTGATGACAATTTGAGATTCGGCCGCTTTCTTCTTCATTTCAATAAAGCTTAATAATAAAGTATGACAATTTTCGCACACCATTTTTGGTTTTATATCATCCTTCTCCACCTAAATAAAATAATAAAAAATATATATTTAATTATTTAATTTCTATTTTTCTATATATGTGTGTACTTTGACTCCTAATAGTTCCATAATCTGTTGATTCATATTTAATTCGCCATTGCTAGGCGTGAAAATGTGTATAAACTTGACGTGTCTATTCGATTCCGGTTCTAGCAGACAAATTCTGCAGAGATCGAAGTTCTCACTGTGCAAATGCATCTGTGTGTTGTTCATGGTGAACGGCTGTTTGAGGACTCCTGCACCAGCGCAAACCAAAAGATCAGACGACGGCACCCGGTGAGAGGCGGCAGCGGTTAATGTTGTCAGCTACGAGCGGTGGGACCAATGACAGGCAGACATCGTTATTTATTGATTTTCGGCGAGATTTGGTTTGGTTCCAGCGGTGATCGACGTCCAACAGTTCAGTTGGCCAAACGCCCAAACCCGGCGAACCACAGAGTTTCAGAGGTTGACGTTAGGCCTCGGTATTATAAACTATAATATTATACTTTTAAGATAAAAAATATGAGCTCACGCGAAACGAAAAAGTTTGGGGAGAGTACGACACTCAGGCTATCGACAAAGATGTAATTTTCGTCGGCTACAAAACTCATGCGTTATACATGAAATGACAACAATGTCGAAAAAAAAGCATGAACGAATCAGCGACGATACCGAGCTACGCCGCTACGGTGTCGGACAACATGATAACGTTGATCGCGACCAAAATACCAATTTAACATGTATAGTACATTATTACATAATATTTACATGGCTGTACCATGAAATATTAAAATAATAATATAATATATATGTTGATATTTTAGTAATAACCTGCGTGGAGTGCGTCCTAGTGTCCTACTCCGCGGAGTAAAATAATGAGGATATTGCGTCATTAACTAACAAACCAGCCACTAGGCCGGGCGCCGATCGCAAAATGTAAACATAATATACTATACCGGTGAACAGTAAACATACCAGTACTCAGGTATAGAACCTGCAGCAGCAAATGGATACCCTGTTTAATGGGTGGGTGGGTGTTTCTTTGATTCGCCCTTGCAGTGGAGCCACAGAACATATTATGACGACATTTTCACAAGCGTGATTTCTCCACAGCGAGGATTTGTTCCAGATTTTTTCTCGAAATTTCCCATGAACGCTAAGAGTTCCAACCGCGTATGGGCGGGGCAGCCCCGTGGCACCGTTGACTGTCGGTTATTTTGAATTTCAAAAGTCAGATCAAAATCCATCCCTAACATTCGCTGTATGCCTGTATGACTCATTCTGGTAAGAGGGGATAAGGCGTAACGCATATTATATAACAATTTTTTTTATTCGAATTAGAAAAGAATGTATGAGGGTACCACATTTTCATCACTTATTAGTTATTATTTATTTTAAACATTTTTTAATTCCCTAAACATATTATTTTTAAACCCTAGAGGACATTTATTTCTCACACCTGGATGTTATTAAAAGTGAAATCACGCAGACGCCCCCTTGGGTATTAAAAATTGCGTCAAGACCCAAGAGACAACTTGATAAACTTCCACAAAACGACTCCAATGTTTAAGCATAATACATATAATAACCAACATCTACATTCAATTACCTACGAACATCGTGATTTTACTGAAACATACACTGACCGATCAAGAATGGAAAATGGTGCCGCAGCAGCTGTAGTATTGCAAGATCATATTTCCATGTTGGGACTAATCACTAATGAGTTTATTATTTACCTACTGAGACTATTTTTTGTTTGATCTATACAGCTGAAGCTCGGATGCAGCGGCAATAATTTCTCATGCTTTGGACCTCATTAAAACAAGACTAATACTCAAAGCAGTCATCCTATGCTACACACTGAGAGCTCTGAGAAGTATTGCAGACGTCGAAATATAAGGAGTACTCTCCACGCCAAATGAGATTATCAGAAAAATCCAAAATCAACTTCATAGTCCATCACCTAACAAATTCTGGTTATTCTATTATTTTGATAAGGATTCCATTTTCAAGTCACAATCAAAATATATCGACAAATGAAAGAGCAGATGAAAAAGCACGCCAAGTAATAACTTTCTTGGATGCTACTATTAAATAGTAGCAGAGTAGCTTAATTATTTTACCTTTCACGATGCTAAATTTGTACAGCTGAATTTAAGAATTAAGAGGACACTATACCCGCATGTGTATTGTGTTGTCTCCGTCTTACAAGAGCGTAACATATCAAATTATATATTATTATTATTATTATTATTATTATTATACAATGTATACAATTTTTATATACTCAACTCTCTTTAAAATTAAAATGTAATAAAAAGCTCATGAGAAGCCCTCCGTAATAATCTTACCTTTAATTTTAATAAGAGGTCAATTCGCTCTGATTTTAAAATTAACTGAGCTAAACGTGATCTGCTGTACGTACAATTTGATATGTTACGCTCTTGTAAGACGAATACAACACATGCGGGTATAGCGCCTCTTAAGGCAGTGTTGCAATAGTTAAGATCTATAAACAATCAAATAAACTTAGCCGTCAACTTACTTTCAAGGATGGTTTTGAATAAATAAATAAAAATACAGGCAATAAAACAGAAATAGAACGTTTAGTTAAAATTTTAAAGTAATATTTTGGTTCTTATTGACCACAGAGAGTAGAATTTTACGGATGGATTGGTGGATTACTAATATAAATAACAACACAAACGTGTTTTATAGTCGTTTATGTTAACTGTTTAAAGGAATCGTAATGATATAGATTAAAATGATCTCAGTACTCACTAATGACCTATGAACAGTCCCCTACCGGTCGTAATATAGTGTATACTAATTTATACTCATATATTACGTGTGCCGTGTCCGTGTGGCATACATTGTATTAATAAATGCTGAATTTTATGCAACAGATACTATTAAAACTTCCCCTCCCTTGAGCTCTTCATGAATGGTAGGTAACTTGAATCAGTGGTATTTCATCTAACCTCTTACTAATTGTGTAAATTGCCTGGCCATTAATAATGTAAAATATTCTGAAAAAAATAGTAGTCTGCTCAATATTTATGTTATGCGTATCAAAAAAAAAAAATTAAATTACGCCCCTAGAACGGAGTAAACTATAAGTAGTTGGAGTCGTTGGTTAATAATTGCTGACGCTTTGCTAAGGACTGCAAATGAGTCATTTGTCGACACTCAAGAATAAGTCCTAGGTACCTATATATTGTTTTAGTTAACTGAAACTTTGAGGGGAGATTGGGATTTGAGTGTTCTTAATTCGTATTGAAGATTGGATGGCGTCCATCAGAGCCTAGTAAATTAAATTTTGATTTATTTTGAGAGGTAAACTTCAATTTTCTAATTTTTGAACCAAGTGTTTAACATATCTTATATACATAGGAACATATCCCAAGAGTTTGTGAGATGTTTGTACAGTACTACAGTAGTACCTACAGGATCTGAATCTGTATCAAGAATGGCCTTATCATCATTAAATGTATGATATAGGTAGGTTTAAGTAAGTTTACCTTGTGGCGTAACTACGGGAGTACTTAACTTTAAGCACTCCCATGTTCTACGTCGTTGTAATTTCAAATAAATATATCTGTAGTTTTGATAATGTGATTTTACTTTTAAGAATTTATTATTATTATTTTTCTTATCTTATATTCTGATTATATTCTATTATCATTGTAGGTATTATAATCTTAAACTACAAAATGTCAATTTATAATTTTATTAACATTGTTTTAAGAGATTTAGCGGTAAAATTCTTGTCTTGGAGGTGCTGCCGCGGTGGCGGTAAATTGACTCATTTTACTGCTACCGCCACAGTGTGTGAGGAGTGGAGATCTACCTTAACTTAAGGGTTATAAGTATAACTTATAAACATACTCAATTCAAAAATATTATTAATAGTATCATTGACAATAAAAATGTTTACAGACAGAAACAAAATACACTACATTGTAAAATCAAAACATTTATCGCTCCGCTCACAATCTAAAGATGTTTTATAGAATCAACTGGCTTATAGAATGAAAATGAATGGCATCAATTCAATCACATTAAATAGAATTTCTGTAGTCCAAAATATCATTTGTAAACGTCATTTTGCGATAAAAGTTTCTAGGTAAAACCGATGTTTATATGTTGCTTATTTATATGTAATAAGCTATAATAGGTTTTATTAATTAATTGTTGAACTGTTATAGTTATTGCTAAAAGTTCTAAAATAAAAAAAAAGCTATAATAGGTAAGTATTAAGATTAACTAATTTTATCATCGATTGCAATGGTTATTCAATTCACGACGCAGCTAAAAGGTTATCGGGAGATAGCCGATGGAATTCATAGGTCTTCGACATCGTTAACAACACTGTAGGTAGTATGATGACTGACTCGTCGCATATGTTTCGTGCGTCAGATGCATTATTAACGTCTTGCCAGAAAGTTCTTTTTAGCTGGATTGTTTGAAAGTGTTCAGTTGAAGGGAAAGGGTTATTAATTAGTAATGGAGTATTCAGCTTGAGGTACTGTCAACGGACCAAGTCATTTTCTTGTCCTTAACCAGAATATTTAAGTCTTATCACTACAAGCTTGAACGAAATAAAGCCCAGCGTAAGGGAGCTAAAGTTAAGTTTGAACCTTATTTGTGAAATGCGATGAAAGAAAAGCAAAGTGTGCAGATTGCTTATGAAGTTTAAAGGTTCAGGGGAGGTTAGCAGTGAAGACAAAAATTCACCATACATGGGAATTAAAACTCACAGTGTCTCTAATGTTGTATGTGTACTATAAACAGTATAATATTCATAATAATAGGCCAATGAAGCAAATGAGGTGAGGCAGCCGTTTGTAAAATTATATTTGAGGACGTAGCACTACGGTGTGCGGGGAGTGCTGGTTGTCGAGTAAGACTAGATGTTTGTTTGTCCGTGTTGAATATTACTTTTGTGTTTGTGTCTAATAATAAAAGAGTAATTCTAATAGTTGTGGATTATTATATTTTTTGGTACCTTTCAAAAATATAGGTATACAACACTAGGTGAACTACAGTTGAACGACTGAAGATTGGAGACCCACTTTCAAAGCAGTGCACACACCAAGGAGGACTTATAGAAGTGCGTCTGACCAAAAATAATGTTCGTGGCACATAATGGCAGCTGCCGAGCTAATGTCGAATAAGTCCATTTGACTGAGGATATAGTGGCCTATCTGCAACGCCGCGCAATTGAAATTTTGTCTTTGAAATGCATTGAAAATTCGTAATAATTAAGAAGTACCTGTGTAGATATTATTAATTACTATAAATATTTGTACGTTTGTATATAGAATCAAAGTAGTGTTTAAAATACATTTTCAGTTTTAAATATTTTTTATCGACGACTTCTGCTATATTATACAGGGCATCTCAAAAATAACGGCATGATAGCGCAGAATAGTACTTTCCCATTGCACAAAAAACGTTCAAACTTAACTTTAGCCCTCTTATTCTGGTTGAAGGCAAGAAAATGACCATGTCCGTCGACCGCACCGCAAGCCGATATACTTCAATACCATACTATATCCAGTTACTATTCGTTTATATCGTCGTGTTCGTTTTTCTGTTGTTTATCGAGTACTTTTAAGGGTAGCAACTCACTTCCCAAGAGAGTGATGTGGTGACCGCGAGAATATTCTCTATATTTCACCGTAAACACTCGAATATTCTGAAACAGTCATGCCACGTGGCAAGTAATACGGGATGCCGTCACAAGAATGTTCTGGGGCGCTCGACTGAGCGCGCGCCGTCCGTTGCCGCCTCGCGAACATTCTAAATTCTCCATCTTTACTAGTTTACACCTGCAGCCAGTTGGCCGGTATTTCTCCGTATAATATTATAATGAAAAAGAAGTATGCTCAACACGATCCGCATTTTCGTCCTAGTTCACGCATGTGCATCGCCTTGTGTTTTTGAGTATTCTGCATTATATAATAATAAGATTAAAATTATATATGTTATATCAGCTTGAGTTTATTGTTGATTTTATAATATAATATAACTATTAACTTATACGTAGGTTAGGCTCTTTAAACAAATATGAGAAATCTTAATATTGAGAAAATTTCATATTCCAATTTTGGAAACATTTTAACTTCAAATATAAAAAAAAAAATATTCCTCACGCATTTTCGATATTTTTGGATTGCTTAATTTTTATAAAATTATAAGAATGACTCATATGGAATATGATTACATTTTCAAGTTTTTTGATTTTGATGGATGAAATATCTTTAAGCACCGCTTATAAAAAAAAAAAATTAAAAAATACATTAGTTAAAGTTTACAAAACTCATTAAAATCATTAAAATTTTTGAGTTTTTTGTTGTTAAGTACTCACAAATACACATGCCACCTAATTACAATTCCATGAAATGAAATATGTAAAGTAATTTGTTCAGTAGATACCTTTAACTCATTACTTTTCAATTGTTATCGATGTCTACACTAATGTAGATAATTGCATTGCATTAATTGATTTTTATTTAAATGGTAATTTAAATAATTTAATTAAATTCTTGTTTTCGTTTTCAGTTTAAAGCCTATGTAAATAATAATGAGTATTTTGTGTGTATATTAGTGTATACTACTATACCTACTTTTAAAAAGTAAACAAAAAGCCAACACTGAACACATGCACATAGCACATTAATATGTTTAATGTAGTATATGTACATCAATTTCTCTGCATAAATACTAACGAGTTAATTCATTCATACCCACATGTTCCTAATTTTGGGCATAGTCCATGTCTACCTAGACATACTAAGTGTTATTTTTTTGGAACCACGTAAAATTTTCGGTGTTGTTGACAATCGATACGTACGTTGTGTGGCCGCGAATCTGGAGTCAGGAGTTCTCTGTACGATCGAAAACCAGATTATTCCAAACGTCTGCAATCATGGATGCCTGCTATCAGCGCCTGACATATAATTTAAAGCATATATTGACACAATATTTTGTTTAAATGTCGAATTCATCAGTGTCAGCCTGCCACACCACACCAAAGGCCCCTGCAGCAAAATTTGAAAAAAAAAATTGATTCCAGTTATCATACTAAATTTATCCGCACATAAATAATAAATGATTAATATACTATATTTTATTATTTTACCGCAGTCTGCATTGGTCAACTAAACATTATTATTTAGTAGACAGGCTGACATTGGACGTTGTTTATAAATACCTCGATAAATACCTATACGTCTAATAATATGTCAAGTAAAAAATAAAAACGGTATAAAAACCATGCACGTACAACAGTACAATGGCAGTATATTTTAAATATATTTAATAATTCACTCATTTTTTAATACAAAAATGGTATTAGTTAATGGTAATATTAAAAAAATCAATATATACTAATTCATTAAATATGTTAACTTTGATAAAAAAAAAATATACATGTACATTGAATAACGTTAAATTAAAAACAATAACAATACTTTATAATAATAAAAGTTATAACATTACAATAGTTCCTTTACATGCGGCATTCGTACTAATAAATATAAATACTATTTAAATTATTGACATATTAATGATTCTTGTTATCTTAATAACTATTACTACATAACATATTTGTGTATAGTATATTATATTATTGTAGTCGGTTGGTAATAACTGTTCCTGATAATTATTGTTACCTACTCGGTTTATAAACGGAATTTATTATTATTAATATAATTTTACGTCGGTACCAATAACTACCTTTATATACTTATATTTTTTTATAGTTAACATATTTTTAGAAACAACATACTATTTTAAAATCAAATTATAGTCATATTTTTGTAAGACTTCTATATTATAAAATAATAATCACCCAATTTTAGTGTCTTGTAATATTTATCTCGGCGATTAGGTATCGAACGATGAATGAAACGAAATAGGTATACAATCAAATCATACATAGTAAATAAACAGCTATTTGTGTTCGTCATGTACTCATGTGTAGAAACTCATCTTTCAATTCTTCATATTGTATCCAGTTTATTGTTTTTGGAAATCTATAGATTAGACGTAAGAAATGAATCAACCAAATACAAGTATAATAAATAAATTATACTTTATTTTTGTTTTAAATAATCATAGCTATAATGTTATAAATAAAATACTTCTTTATATATTTTAGAATAAGTTTCTTTATGTGCCATAATATCTATGTATTAGTAAAGGTCAATAATATTAGCTAAATAGTTTTCAATAGTTCATATTATTATTATAGTTATTACTTATTAATATTAAGTCTACAAGCGTAATGATACATTTTAATAGCTTAATGTAATTAACTAATAAGGCTTATGTTGTACTAGGTATATCTAATGGATAATAATAGACAGATAAATACAATTCAATAGGAACGACAGTAAGAAAATAAAAATGAGTATGATTTTGAAACCTAATATAACTGACAAGTTAATGATGATTTTATATTTCTGTATAACATTTTTTTATTAAAATAATTTAGTTGTCGCATTGCGTACCTACCTACAAGTTCTGTATACCTGTTGGTGCGACTACCTGCCACATCATTCGTAAATTCGTAATACTGAAAATACGCAGCACGGATAATACTTATAATTATTCATGGCGATTTATTAACACAAGTCACTATAGTAAAAATAAAATAAAGGAAGTCACTCAATGTATACGAAAAACGATTTTGAGCGGAAACGGTATGTGCATTGTACACATATTATTTTTAGGATGCTATAAGAACAACTTATGAAGAACCTTGCATTTGATGTTCAAGCCTCAACTATTTTTATCAAAAATGTTATTAATTTTTAGTTAAAAAATAATTTGGATAATATTTTCAAATTTTTTCAATATTTAAATCTCAAATGCTTAGAAACAAAACTGGTGACTATAGGTTTCTTAATTATGATTAGAAAAACTTAAGTTGAACGTAGTTTTAAAATGTCAAGTTATTTTTATTGACAAATTGTATCATACATTAATGAAAATAAAAATGAAAAATTCGAAAATTCAAATACTGATGACAGTGTAACTATAGCACAAAAAGAAGCAAAATATTTTGAAAATTTCATCATGTCTAGAAAATATAACTTATTAGTGTAAAATTCAAGTTGCCACCATTATTCATTTTTTAATCAATTTTGTCACAAACTGGTGCAACATAATTCCAGTTTTTTTTGTTATTCCCTGATTATTTTGTAGTGCTAGAAATTTAATGTATGACTCTTCAAAATATTAATTAGATAGAATTTTCTACCAGAATCCACCCTTGAAGATGAAGATGAAACATTTATACTGTTCCAAAAGCAAAAATGTATTGACTTGTGACGGATAAAAAAAAATTAGAATCGAAAAAAACACACATCATTGTGTACCAAAACATTCATCGCTCCACTTAAAAGTCTAAAATTAAGGTAGGACACGAATGTTCATTAGAACATTATTTTTCGTTGAAGGGCAAATGTACACTTGAAAAGGAGATTAAGCAAATTAAATATATTCATATTAATTAAAAAGGTTAATAAGTTATGCATACTTTGTAATTAGTTTTCTAGTTTTATAAATCAATATGAAATCATACATTCACAAATGTTTTTTTAAAATCAAGTCCGTAGGTAGGTAGAAAAGGGTAGTCGTGATTTCTAGAACAATGCGGTTAATAGTCGAGATGCCAGGAAAGTACCTTCCACATTAATTATTTTTATGTATTAGATATTTTGACTTAATTTTTAAAAACGTATACATTTGTTTGTTGTTTGTTGATCAATTGCAACAGTTTTACAGAAATTAACAAAACGAATAGATATAGATAATCGAATCTCAGTTTTCCAACTCTAAAGCAAAAAAAAATCTAGTTGTTATTAATAATGTTGAGTTTATACTCTGAGAGACGAGAGTTCATTGTATTTATTTAAATACGCTTTTATTTTAAATGCTATTTAAAACTTTTTATTGAAAACAATATTGAGCAAATACCCGGATGGCCGGATGTTAATACTATATACCTGTTTGGTTTAGGAAAATTATTGTTCAATAATATAAATAACAAACTCGGTTGATTGTTGAATATGTAAGTTATATATATACAAATAATTTCTGTACAACTTATAGTTAAATCAATTGTATTATCATCGTGTATTACCCAAACATACAAATAAAAGCCTACATTATTTTTTGTAATTGAAAAAAATATATTAATATACAATACGAGTTATAGGTAGTTACGTATGTATATATATATTAACAATTAGAGTTCATAATACTAAAAAAAGCGATTTAAATAAATTCCAGCTAGACTATAGATTAATTTTTTAATTACTATACCTAGGTATTTTCACATTTGAATACAGATTAATAATGAATCAGTCTGTTAAACGTGCTTATGTCACAGAATCAGCATGACTGTAGCTTATATTTAGTTATGAACGGTTATTTTTTATTATGAAAATAATATAACACTTTTATCTATATTTTGGGTAGGCAAACATTAATAAAATTGCAGTACCTACCTAAGTTAATATAGACAGGTTTAATATTATAATGCTACCTGTAGTAACATAATTTATCAGCACTAATTGCCGATTGGCGGAAATCATACTTTTCTGTTACCTGTGTTGACTTTACATTGTACTAACATTATACGGCTGTATAACGTTGATGGATTATACAATACTATTAAATATTAATGTCTAGGTGACTAAGTACTAAGAATTAGGACCTATATTATAGGCCATCAAGCGTATACATTTTACTAAATGTGCAATATTCGTAATTTCTGTAAATTAATGGTTTTAGTTTGGAGACAAACAATTTTAAGTCATTATGAACAACAATTTGTGCGGACGTTATACGGTATATAATCATAATGTCGAGTGTTCGACAAAATATTTGAACAGAATAAATGTGATACATTAAATAAACGCCAACACAGAAAAACAAAAAGTATGGTTTCATTGGTTTCTAATAAATATATTGCATGTTCAACAATGAAACAAGCATTTCAGTATTTTAATTGTATTTATACAATTTTTAATATACATTATACATTAATATATATTATATGCATCTACCATTCTTAACAAAGAATGCACAAGCTTAAAATTATATAACATTAATACATATAGGTAATTTAATTAAAATTGTTCCATTTTGAATCTCTACTTTCATATTTTTATTTTGGAACTGTTTTATTGATTACATTGAGTAATTTTGACCTTTATACTTTACCATAAAATGTATTATGATGTAGAGCATGCCGGACAATTGGATTTAGTTTGTTCTTTCACATAATCTTGTACATTAAAAGATCCTTTTTTTTCTATACCTGTTTTTTTGAAAAGTAACTCCCTAAAATTGTAAATGCAATATACATATTATAATATGAAAAAGATAACGGGTTTCGGGTATACGATACACTATCATAATTATTCATGTAATATATTGTCTAATTTTTCTTAATTACATACATTTTTAGTAATTTTTCATTCATAGGTATATGTATAATAATTAATAATTATGTTAATATACCTTGCAACAGCCATAAAAGCGATTTCGACATTAAAACCAGATTTAGCAGAAGTCTCCATAAAAGTGACTGAATATTCCTTGGCCAATTGTTCTCCGTCTTCTCTTTTCACCATTCTATCGTTTAGACTGCAATCAGCTTTATTTCCTAAATAAAATTAATCATTTTTTTAAATTTAAGTACAATGCAAATCAATAAGTATTAATACTAAATAGTATTATAATTAAGTTTGGATATGTATATATATATATGGATATACCTATTAACATTATGACTACTTGATCATTTGCATAATCTCGAATTTCGCTCAACCACGCTCGTATGTTGTCAAAACTTACTTTATTAGTTACATCGTACAAAAGTAAAAGTGCTGTAATACAAACGAACATTAGATAATAAATTATTTACCGTACACATTATACAATTTATGCAAGCAGTATGCTTCTCGAATTCAAATAAAAAAATAATTAATGAGAAATTTTATTAAATAGTATTATAGTTTAGAATAGGTAACTATTTTAATGCGGAAAGATTTAAGAAAATATGTGGCAAACACATGCGTACTTATGAAATAGGTACATATTGTGTTGAACAAATTACATTTAGAAATTTGTATTGGTAGTTATTAATTTTCAGAAGTATATAACCGTACATTTAATAATAATTGATAAATTGAATAATAAATAAACACAGATATACCTACTTAAATTGGAATTTAAAATATTGTGTCTAGTTCTCCTCATCGTATAAAAAACCTAATTCATAATGATTTTTCAAGTTTGTATTTGAAATTTAATAAAGCTGTGAAATGTTGAAGCTATATTACATTATATACAGTTACATAGTTTACACAGTATAACTCAGTATAAGTCATATTATGGATGAGTGTTTTTTAGTCAGATCAATATGTTATATTGTTATTGTGTGGTAGGTATACTAAATAAACATCAATATTTTATATCACGTAGAACTTATACCTTATATATATTCCATAAATTTAAAACCCTTATGACATGTTATTTTGATAATTTATTATTATAATATTTCTATTTTCAAAATATTAAGTAAGTATGTATTTGTTTCCAATAAATAATAATTATATTATACTAATAAAAAGTAATATTAGTAAAAAAAATATGTACTTCAGAATTTTTCAAGAGAACTAATATTCCAGGTTTTTTTTAAAAAAGGATTTATATTTTTTAACTTGTAACTAAAGTATAGGTACATACAAGCTATAATTTTAGCTTTTAGCTATTATTTTGAACCAATGACATGGGATTATATTTATTTAATTTCATTATTACTCCACCTGTCTCTAAATTTTTAATTTTTGATTTTTATTGATATGTTTATATCTCTTTAAATTTCAAATGGTTTTACATAATATATTATAGATACCAGTTAAATATACAATTTTAATTAAATAATACAATTTCCTAAGCTGCATATGCTGCCTCCGTTTGACAAATGAAGTAAAAGGAAAATTTCAACAGTTCCAATTTTGTGTTGTTCGTATTAATATTTGAGTAAATTAACCTAATATCAAAGAGGAGGTACGAAACTATGAACATCATCTGTGCTCTCCTGTTGTTTTTTATAATATTTACATTTTTAAGCGAGTTATGATTATTTAAAAATTTTAATAATTCACATTACTCATAACTTGCTTAAAATGATATCATATCGTAAGAAACCAACAACTTAACACAAATAATGTTCTTACTTTTACTCTAATATTCAACTTAACAACACAAAATAAGATCTACTGAACGTAAATTGTGGACATTATGCGTTAGTAAGACGGAGACAACTCATAAGGTACGACGTGCTCTTAATGTATGAAGTATATTATCATATCCGTTTTTAATTTTTTAATTATTTAGTTAACATCAATATGATTACTTACCATGAGCATCTCTATAATATGCATGGGTTACGCTTCTAAATCGTTCTTGACCCGCAGTGTCCCAAATCTGTAGCTTAACTTTGGAGTCGTCGACAGATATAATTTTATTCTGAAACAGATAATTGTTGACTGTGTTTTAATTTTTAAAGTAAAAGTACAAACCACATGTTCTCAAAAAAAAAAAAATAATAATAATAATAAATATATATAGGAGAAAAAAATGTAATTTCATTAGTCATTAAAAATATTTAAACACATCAGCTACGTTATCCAACTGTTATTATTTGACTTTGCCTCGTGTACAGTATATAATGATCTTAAAATCGCGATAAATGATCAAGGTACAGGTGCTTCTCCTGGTTATTCATAGTTCAGAAAATAATAATATTAATATAAAATACGTCAATTTTATATAGGGTACCTGCAACTACAAAATGAGTTACCACATGTTCACAGCAACTGTCTAAATAACACCGTCTACCTATATGACCGCGAAGCGGCGTCTACATTATCTTAACACACGTGCCTGTTGTATTATAATTTTATTTTATTATATACGGGTTGATTAAATTTTTTGGGTCAAGTACAAATTACTATTATGATGATTTAAGTAATCATAATATATTCATAATATTCGCCGTCGGTAAAAAAATAGTATTTATAGATGAATAGTCTTTATATCCATTTGCATGCTAGACGATCAATGATTTAACAAGATCCGAGACCGATCGTCGTTCTCACCCTGAAGTCTACACCAACGGTAGAAATATAATTGCCACCCAAGAACATATCGTCCCTGAAACGGACCAACAGGCAAGTCTTCCCAACTCCGGAATCGCCGAGTACCATCACCTAAAAACCAAATATTGCAGCAGTTAATACTAAATAAACTAATCAAAATCATATTATTTTATGAGGAGAAGAACACGGCCCAATGGTTTTGGAAAAGTGTAGAAAGGTATAGTTAACCTATACATATCGGTATGTTTAGTGTAACAGTAACATACAACTAGTGTTTACATCGCAATTACTATGTGTCGGCAGGGTTAAAGTTATAACTATAGTAGTATAGTATTATGGTTTATTGTATATTAAGGAATACATTTATAATAATTAATGATAATACATTAATACATAATAATAATGTATTATTATACTACACACTTGATATTTTACATACTCAAAGACGGTCGAAAGCCCTCAGGGTTTGAAAAATGGTTGTGAATACCTACGACCAAGTGTAATTGGGAGCTGGAGATCCATCCACTTAGTTATAACAGGAATTTAACTTTACCTAAATATGTCCTATTGTACATTTAAGGACTTATAATATGTAAAATTGATAATAATGATTTTACTGCAATGTTTCGTATAATACCTATATAACTACTATACATTTTATGAAAAAGCATGGTTTTGTGTAATAGCTTGTTAGGCTAATTGCATGTCAAAATAAAGTTATTGGATAGGTAGTCGTAGTTATAAAAATACGTATTCAAGGTACTGAAGATCCATAATATTATATAATATTAGATAATGGATACTACTTTCCACAATTTAATATATACACAGGTTCTTATTATTTTTAATTGTTTCAAGACAATTTTATTACGTTATCATTTAAGATAAATTGGATACCTACTTCATTTTAAAGTTATTATAAGTTATAACATGGTTGATTCAACGTCAAAATTATTTAGCATCCAAAACTGATTAACATATCTAGAACAAAGTTCCTTTATAAATACATTCACCTATAGTGTGTTTTCAGTCAATGATAAAGATGTTACATTGTTACGGACACAACTAGACTGTATCAATGAAATTGAAACGTCTGTAATAATAAACATTTTGAATAACTTCTCTCTAGCTATTATTTGTTGAACAAATAACAATCGATATTTTTGTAATGATAAAAACGTACATTTTGCGTATCAATAACAGCAATATTCAGATATTATTCCATATTATTTTGAATTTCGAGAATAAATAATGAATAATCATAAATATCTTACACACATTTTGTGGGTATTGATAATTAATTAAACCTATTTATATTCAATTGAAATATTTATGAGCCCTTAAGTCATATTATCCAGATCAACAAAATAAAATGAGTTAATAAAGATTACTTTATTATTTAATTAAAAAAACAGACATAAAGGTATAATACTAGTAGAGTATTCAATAAGACTAATTATAAATATCTCAATTTATTAATATTGGTTTAAAAATTTAACATTATGATTTATAAGCATTTAGCTTTACGTGGTTTGTTTGTTACTGTTATTATTATTATTATTATTTTTTTTTTTTTTATTATTCTTGTATTTCGGGTTTCTCCAAGTAATAGTTGACAAACAATAATTTCTGTTAAAATCTCATTAAAAGAATAAAAAAGTATCAATATTTTAGTCATATATAATACTATATAATTATAATTATATACTCCAGGTTTCTAATTTATTAAATATGCCAATAGTTTATTGTGCATCGTTAATTTATTGTTTTTAAGAAATGTATAGTTTTCGGAGTTTTCCTAATATTTAACTCGTTATGGATGTATAAATTTAAAAACATGTCAATTAGGTAGGTCACAAAAGGGTATTAGACTTGTATAGTTGATCATCTACTTTGCAGTTATAAATTATAAATAACAAAATGTGAAACACAACACCTGCGGACGACGGCACTTTGTGGGATGATACTATTAGTATAGACTCCAAACAAAAATTGTCCGCATAAATTAAACATTTTTTATTACAAGTCACAAAAATAAAAATTTAATAAACTCAATTTTTGATTTTATTTTTTTATGTTAAGTTTATTATATGCCTTGTTATTGGCAGACACGTGGAGTTGTACGTTATAGTTGTTGTATGTTAGAAAACTATGCTCGTAGGTTATGGCCCGACGCAAACAAATTGTTTAAAGAATTATTATTATTGAGGTCTGAATTAACTTTCAAGTTGTCCTGATGGATTATCAGATATCATACGCAATACACATTATATTTATATAAGTATATGTATTATGTATGTATAATATATGACGTGTAAATAATATGATTATATGAAGCTTTTCTTAACATATTCAATGGAGTGTATTTCAGAGGGATTACCGTCACACCAGCGGTGAATAAAAGGTACGATCTTGATAAGTCATATCAATAGAATCTAGATAATCTAGAGAATATTTGAAAAATGAGTTGGAAATTTTAAGTTCTACGGTGGACGGTGGACATCAGGGTAAGCATATTAAATTCGGTACATGGTGGAATACACAAATTTTGTCCGGAATATCCAAGAAAATAAATTCAAGTAACAAAGAAACCATACAACTATAACACTGCAGCTATGCCAATACCCACATGTTTATTTACACCCCTTAATAATAAATGATAATATTATGTTAGAAATAAGATGTGTTGCAGTCTATAAATTATAGTATATAAACATCGTCTAAATTGAAAAATAATAATAGAGAGATTTCACAGAAAATATTTTAAACAGAGTTTAAAGTATATTGTGGGGTCACCCCTCACCAATCCAACTATCGTACATTTTAAAAACAAAGAAAATGTATACACTATACCTATATTACCTATAGGTACGTTAAAAGTAATACTAAGTAATTTCTTATACATTTTAAATTATTTAAATTAATTAAATACGCTGTAACAATTAAAGATAATATGTTAAACAAAAGCACTGATGTAGGTACTTGTTTTTAAATTTTTTGAAACAATGATAAATAATTGCGTATGAATACCTATTCTGAGGTTGAATTATTTGAAATAGTGTCACCAAGTTTTGATTAAAAACGTTCCAGTATTTGCTTCACCTTTAACTTGTCGTTTTAATGCAGTTTTCTAAAAAACTATTGGGAAGATAAAAATATCGAAGTGCCATCTTTAAAGTGCCATCTGTGCTCAATTTTTGATCTATATAGTGAGGTGGCAAGAAACTTTTAGAACTTTTATACTAACCGTAAAAGTATTATAACCAATAAAAATAATAAATCATTGTAATACCATTAGCTTCCCCTGCTCTGTTCCGAATACAACATGTCAATTTATTAAAGAACCTTTTAGTTTAATAACTTAGTTGCTTTAATTAATAATTATGAAAATAAATAATTTAAAAACAAAACTTTAACTTTAATTTAATTTAAGATATAATATACTTTTAAAAAGTTTCAGAAATTTTGAAAAAAATTTGCATAACAAATAAAACGTATTTTATGTAGAAATTTACAATATGACACATTTTAGAAAGCAACCAAAAAAAGAAGTAGTAGTAAGTAAAATACTGAATCATATATATAATAATAGTCAGCACTTGTTTTTAAAATAATTAAAACCCTTCTCGGGTTCACCTGCTGCAGTCTACATGTCTACTCTTTCCGTTCAAACCGTCGGTGCTTATTATAACCCAAAGTCCCAAACATACCTATGAATATTATAATATAATGTTAAAACTACGTATTTAATTAAATTAAATGTAACTATATAACATAATATGTGCTTATGACTGCGAGTGCGTAAATTAATACCATCAAAGACCTTATACTACGATTAATCATACATGCGACACAATTAACTCTATATCATGAGTTTTTTACTTACTTTAAAGAACCAATCACAGATGGCATCGGGATGCGGTTGAAATGTCGTTCTCTGCGAGCTCTTGCATGCGGCCGCTTTTTGCCGTAAAGTCGACGACGAAGACGACGCGGCTGCCGCGGCGGCCGCCACGACGCTGGCCCAACCGTTCGGACACTGCTTCTCCGGCTCGTCCTCCAGATTGGCGGATGTTCTTCGCTTGGACACGATCCGTCGCTCGAACACCCGATCGGTAGACGACATCGTACGTGATATTAGAAAATAATTGTCGACGCGATGTAAGTATTATTGTAATTTGAGGACGCGACGCAGTCGTTTCACTGCACTTTTGCGAACATTTCGCGCCCGCTTGCACACTAGGTATAAAATATTATAATTTATAAGCAACACTTACACGATCATTTTTCGAAAAGGTGAAAAAATAACGGTCGAGTCCTCAAGTACGACGACGACGACGACGACAAAGACAATGCCGAGCGAGTCTACGCGGGCTATACGTATTGTGTGGGCCTTCAATAAGCGACAGCGGTGGCGTCTGACGACACATGCGCTGCTGGCGGCACGCGAACTGTTGCGACTATATCTGAACACTTGTGGCGCGCGCGGAAACTTTTCAACCAGCGTCCCTCCATTCCGCCCGCCACCGCGTGCGCGCGAGCGTGAGCGTACATAAAGCGCGCACACGTACACACACGCATCGCATTTCACGATACGAACTTTTCGCCAACGGCGCGAGCGAGCTTATGGCTTTCCCTGGCGTATCCATAGTTACCGTCTGGGGGCTAATGATGCGCGTCTCGTCGCGTATATCTATCGCTCGCGGGTACATCACGTTATTATTGCGACTATTATACTACGTATAATGTATAATATACTACGCACGCGTTACGTAACGTCGAAAATTCGTAGTATATTATTATTAATACAAATATAATACGACATATACGCATCGGTGAAGTCGGCAATAATGGCCACGGAAAGAATGATGGCCAAATTGAAACGGGCTTGTTTCGTGAAAATCGTCTTATAAAAAAAAAGGGACAATAGTTGATTCATTTTAGACAAAATTTTTTTTTTTTACCCATGAGTAATTTCAACTAACAAATAGATAATATTGGTATTATTATCTATCATTATTATCTATTTTAATTTGTGATTCCGAGCCTAATATAATTTAAATACAAATTCGTAGCTCGAGCGTAAATCCAACATATTATTATAATTCAGTGGCGTCATTTCAGTTTTCAATAGAGGGGGGGGGGAAGTTTTGACCGACCCGGAAGATTAAAACAAAATCTACCATACTATGATATACTTTTTTTGTAGCACGTCGGTTTTTAGCCGCTCCGCTCATTTCTTTTTTTAAGACATATTTTGTCCATATTAAAATATTAATGTGAACACAAAAAAATGTTTAATTTTTTTGTGTCCATATTAAAATATTAATGTGAACACAAAAAAATGTTTAATTTTTTTGTTTGTAGAATAAGGTACCTACTCAGCAAAATTAACAAAATAGTAAATACAGAATAGTTTACCACGTGTCCACGTAGTAATACAGACTATCACCAAGTTAACTGAAGTCTGAGATCAATGATAAATAAAAGTGCCAATCGGTTGTTGTTTTTAGAATTTGTATTAATTTTAGATTTTAGAAGTATAACTACACGGGATTATGATATTAATTATTATTATTATTGTTGTACATACAACAATATTATGTTCCTTTTACTTCAAAAAACACACATGCACACACAAATACAAACATACATGCACGTCCCCCTATGTGTCTAAACACTCTAAACATACATGTATTCCAACTATCAATTATTAATTAAAAAAGTATTGTTGTGTCGATAATTTCTTAGTACACTGTTTAATATTTTTTGAAAATATTATAAAAATAGGCATATTTTTGCTCTAATAAAATATAATAATGGTTAAACGGCAACAACCGTGCACCGGCCCATCGGGCTACTTTTAATATCAGACAAGGCCAAATTCCCACCTCCCCCCAATTACACCACTGTTTTGGTTTCATAGGATCATAATAAAGTTTAAAATCATGATCCCGAATGACGAATCTAAATAATCATTAGTCAGTATACTTTAATAACGTGTGCTTGATAACATTATAATATTACTTTTTTAGTACTTCCTTGAATCTCCAACTCTGTTTACTAATTTATAAATTATTTGGTTTTAATAAACCGCATAATTAATATGGATTAATGGATTAAACTCATATTAATTTGCTAAATACACAAGAGGTAGATTAAAAACTGATGTAAAATATAAATCTCCGAAGTTTAAGGGGATACGTGAGTTGGCCCCTTATCATTAAAAATATTATTTCGCCAAAAAGTGAGTTAAAAAATATTTTTTTGTGGACCCGTTTTTCCTGAACATATATTTCTTCGGCCGTTTTTACCTAGATTCATACATATCATACCACCCAATGCCTATATATATATACATATGTATGTATACGAGGTAAAATATGTTTCGTTTAATATTGTTTAATATTATATGAACTAACCGAAATTAAGTGCTGATATAGTGCGCTGTCGTATCTGATGTACATCCAATATACCTCTATTATTGTTAGTTATATTATGTGTGTGACGTCCACAAACTCTTTAGTCTTTATAGGAGGGTCCAAAAGGAGTGTGATATACATACCTACCTACTCTGCAGCCAGTAACTTAATAATCGAACTATAATTGTGAGAAATGCGTTGTCCAGCATAATAATATTATTATTGTATACTCGGATACCCAGTGAACACAGTACGTATAATATACGTGTATACTAAGGATAATATTGGTGTATATATATACGTAATTAATATTCGTATAATATACGTTAATACTACATGTATTATTGGTTGATGATCGAACTTAAATCGATTTACGTGTAAGAATATACGAATATATTAGGTTTAAAATACGTTGATACATATTCGTATATTTTTCGTGGTAAAACTACGTTTAATTAACGTCGATCATACGTGTATTATTGGTTGGTAGAACTTACATCGATTTACGTGTAAGGATATACGAATATATTAGGTTTAAAATACGTTGATAAATATTCGTATATTTTTCGTGGTAAAACTACGTTTAATTAACGTCGATCGTACGTGTATTATTGGTTGGTCTAACTTACATCCAGTGGCGTCATTTGGGGGGGGGGAACTGGGGCATTTTCCCCAGTCTAGTATTTACATCAACCTAAAGTCGGCATATTTACCAACACCAACCCTCCCCCCCCCCATCCTTAGGCCCTTAACCACTATAGTATACTGTAGTATACGGCACTATGCTATGAGAATCTGAGTGAAAAAAATTTTGAGTCAGAAAAGTAGTGAAAAGTTGTCCTAGTCTAATAAAAACTGAAATGACGCCACTGCTTACATCGATTTACGTGTAAGGATATACGAATATATTTTTAACACGAAACCCGAAACCCGCAAAAAATTTTAACAAGTTTTTAACACAAAATCCGAAACCCGCAAAAAATTTTACCCGGCTTTTAACACGAAACCCAAAACCCGAAATATTTTAACACATTTTGACTCCCTGGGTAAAACTAGGTAGGTAAATTTATACCAAAATACACGTATATGATATACGTATCATATCCACGAAATTTATACCAAAATACACGTATATGATAAACGTATCATATCCCAAATTTATACTACTATTATTATAATTTATACGTATTTTAAACGTAATTTATACGTTGCTAACTAAATAAATATACTCGTATATACACTAATTATAAACATATTTTTAGCCACAAATATAAACGTATTTTAAACGTTGAATATACGTTAGAATTTACGTTTATTACACACATAATATACGTTGAATATCTATCTTTTGACCCAAAAATATCCATGATTTCTACTTATCATCAACTAAATATATTCGTTTATTATACGTAACTTAGATTATGTGTATCCGTATATTATACGTTTAATATATGTATATTTGTTTACTGGGTATAGGTGGGTTTTTAGTTTTTTCTAAAAGGGTCTCACAGCAGTTTCCTTATAGTATTATACTATTATTACACTTCATGCAGTAGTGTATTACTATATCCATAATATGACAACGTATTACATTATTACATTGTGTATTTGTGTATAGTGTATATATATAGTAATATAATACGTTATAAATCGTTTACGTGACAAACTCGAATAAAATGTCCACAGAATGACCGTTGCTACCTGCTACATCATTTTACAGTGCAGTCGTGGTAGACATTTTTGAGTGGCAGGTATAAATGTATAATTATTAATTTATATGGTAATATGGTATAAGTAAGAATTGAAAAAAAACTTAATCAGTTTGTGGAGCTTTTAAATTTATGTTTTAAACAAATTACATGGGTAATATTCTCGAGAAAAAGGTGCAGAGTTTTGTGTATCATATGGTTTATAAATGTTCACCTTACCCCTGATGTGCATCGACCAATAGGACCGATGTATGTAATTTACATGTTTATAGAATGGATATAATACACGTGGTTAAAACATATCAATATTTAAAAATTCGTACAACAAAATATTGCGTATAATAAATTATATAGAATACTTGAACATATTTTATGCTGTATGTGTTATATTACTATGGATAGTCAAACATTCATTATTTATGCATTATGCATCACTCCCAACACGCGTTATAGTCAAGGAATCTCACTGACCGGACAGATTTTCTGGGTTAACAGACAATAGTTATAATACGCGAGGAGATATTATATTATTATCAGTCATCGTGCCTGCTTTGAAAAATCATATTAACATATTAAAACTAGTCTAAAAAAACGTTTCGCATTACTCCTATTCTAATTCTGTATTGCAACTTTCAAACTTTTAATTATTATTTAATTACATAGTATAGCTATCATAGGCGGTAATCCTTTCTTTTTTAATGGGGGGGGGGGAGTACTTCAATGCGAGCAAGGGACTTACATCCCACATAACTAATAAGCTGTCTGTTGTGCCCCTCCCCCCCCGATTTTCACAAATCGTAACTCGCCCCGTTAATTTCACTTCATTAACATATGCCGATACATTGATGTAATGAAATTTATAATTCATTTTGAATGTCATTCAAGTATGACGGGAGTATATTACGTTATATATAATAATATATTAGTATATTATATAAATACATAAAAAAAAATGATGGTACCTATAATACCATTTACTTGTTGGGTAGTTTTATTACCGATTTGATGCAAGTTTTTAAGATTTTTTTAAATAAGAGTGTAAAATTCTTAGTTTCTAAGGAAATATTTGTGACATAAAATACAAAAACTTATATTTTCATATTTGCCGTATACCACTATATTTTTGGAAACAAATCAATAATTATTATCAGACGAAATTATAGGTATACCACTATGCCAACTAAAGTGCAAAACTTTGTTTGACTTTATTCATCTTGTGTTTCATGTTTCAATTCACTCATAATGAAATATATAATATATTTATTCTTGCGTTATAACTGCAGCTGACGGATAGTATAAACCTATCTTAACCCACAATACAGCAAAGATGATAACAACATTTTGT